GGGGACATGCCATCTTGAGACATAGTCTTGGATGGGAATGATGGTAACAGGAGAAATGGTCATTCACAGTCTAGGGCAAATATTCCATATGGTATTTTCCCCAATTTTATCCAAGGAATGAAAGCTTTCTTTTGGAAATCCATTGCTGTTGTCTCCACATTGACCGTTTTTGAGAACAGAATTTGAATGAGTAAAAACCATTCTCATAGTTGAAGTGTTCAAACTTACCATGGATTATCGGGGCAGGCCACAGAAGTTTTGGATCAGATGGATTTATTAAAGGATGAAATTGATACGACACATTCATGAATACACCACTGCTTCTTCGTCCACCAGGGAGAGATGGGGAAACTCTGGGCAAGGTCACCTAGCGGTGGCGCCAGGAAGCCTTCCATTGTCCAAAAAGGGGCACATGACCCTCCTCCTTGGATTCTTAAGGGGTCACTGTATCTTCAGAGAAGACATGCCCATTGGGCTAACCTGCTCCATTCCATTGGTCATTAGATCAAATGGCAGAATTCCCACAACAATGGACAGCTGAGATTGACTCCACTGCTGCAGGGCAGCCTAAGATGAGTCGCTGAAGAACTCCTACACCAGGGCAGAGGTGTAAATCCAAATACGGTTTACTAGTCGTAAAGGGACTCTATAATAGAAAAGTATTAATAATCCATTAGTCTCATCCTCTGTGTAGTGTTTTCCAAAAGGCAAAACCAGGCAAAACAAAACAAAAACAGTAAGAAAAATAAAAGGCTGCTGGATAAGGAGAGCTAGGACAAGGTGAGCAGGTGTTGTGTGATGCTGTTCTTGGGGGAGACGTGAACAGTCCCTTGTCCCAGTTAGGGATTTGACAACAGACCCAAGCACAAATATCATCCAAGTCCAACTTGGTGAGCCAGTGAGTCTTATTGGGGCTACAAACAGGAATATGGGTGAGGGTTTACTTACAGGAACAGAAATCACTCCACCCCAGGATGGGGAGAGTTGAGGAAAGCTGGAAACCTGGAACATACTGCACAGCCTTCGTGCAGCTCAGGAGGCTGGAGTAGCTCCTTTGATCTGAGACTCCTCCAGCAGCTCCACTGGTTTCTATTTCCTCTTGCTGCCTGGCTAGCCTGAGCCTCTCCTGGGTAGCTCGGCTTGCTCTCAGTTGGAGAGGCCCTAACGGGAGCCAGGCCCCAGAATCATATGAAGGCTGAAACTCTCTCCCAGCTTCTTTCGGCTGGCAGACTTCAGTTCTCCATGGCTGTACAGCCGCATTCTCATCTACTTCCAGCTAAGTAACAGCTGGAGGGTAGCGTTCATCTTCTTGAGGCCACCCTTGGGTTTTTGACAATGTTGTCCCCTTACAACAGTATACCCCTACACAGCCCACAGGAAAGCATCTCTGGCTTATTGTCCTGGGTCTCCTGATTTGGCTAGGCTCCTTCCATAGTTTCCTGATTGATACTCAGAATCAGACGAGTAGGTCCCTTAACTGCGTCTGTAAAATCCCTTAAACTTTGCATGAAATGTAATCTAGTAGACTTACTGTGGGAGTATAATCCAGGGACATTTTGTTTGTGGTGAATGATTGCTGAAATGAACACACTGTGAACAGACCTTACACATGTTTCGCTGTAGATAGGGTTTTATAATTATATTCATAAACTTTAAATGATCTACCATTTTACTATGACAAAGTCTTAGCATGTATTTTTAACTATTTGCTTTTTATAACCTCCCCAACCCCCCACCCCCCACCCGCCACACACACACTGTGCCAAGAAGGCACAGCAGATAGTCCAATGTTGGGGGAAGATGTGTGTGAAGTCTTCGTGGGGGGATGACCAGACATCTCTTTAGTGAGATATGTTACAAATGACAGAACAAATAAGCAATTTCACTCATGTCTTACTTGGTGAACCAGCTAATTTAATTAGGGATATTTTCAGGAGCAGAGTAAGGGGTTACAGAGTAAGGGTTTATAGCACCACCAAAGAAAATGTCTCTCCCAGCCACCCTTAACTCCCTATATCTCCTTCGGGAAGTGAGGGACCTTGTGAACTCCCTCCTCCCTCCACAAATGGGCTCCATCTTGTGCATGCTTTGTGTAGATAATCACAGCTGCTGAGGGTCCAGGGGAGCAATGGCCGAGTCATGCCCAGAGGAAAGTGTTCCTCAAACTTGTATCCCTTCTTCTGGTTCTTATAATCTTTCCATCCTCTCTTCCGTGATGTTCCCTGTGGTGGTCTGAATGAGAATGTACCCCATAGGCTCTGAACACTTGCTTCCCAGTTGGCGGTGCCATTGGGGGTGTTTCGTGTGGTTGCAGCCTTGTGAGAGAAAGCACAATGCGGGTGGACTCTGAGGTCAGAGAGCCTCACTCTACCTCCAGTTCTCTTTCTCTGCTTTGTGTTTGAGCTTGAAGGTGTGAGCTCAACTTGCTGCTCCTGTTACCATGTCTACCCCTGACTGCCATGCTCCCCTACCATCATGGACCGTCAGTCTCCTGGAACCATAAGTCCCAAACTCTTCATTCTATAAGTTGCTTTTGGTCATGGTGTTTTTTATCACAGCAACAAAAAGGGAACTAAACCGTTCCCTGAGATTCAGAAGGAATAATAACGATGTCCCATTTGGAGTTAAGCACTCGACAGTCATTATTCTCAGCACTTGGGTCAGTTCTGAGTCTCTGTAGCAACTAACACTGATTGGCCAAGGCTGACAGCAGCAATAAATTAGACGTAAATATAAACGCTCAAAAGTCTATTGAATCTGGCAGGTACGTCATATCTATTCAGCCAAACAGTAACAGGAGATTCCCTAATAGGGCCTATGGCCTCATTATCCATGGGCTTTTGAACAGGCTTACAGTAGTTGATATGAATTTCTTCCCATGGAGTAGAGCTTAAACCCACTCAGAAAGCAGTTGGTAGTGCCCATAACGGTGGTGCCACTATTCCGTTAGTGGTCACCTCTTGTCTGACAAGTCTGCAGTGTAACCTGCAGAGATCACAGCTGGGGAGGATACTTCTGGCAACCTTTCCCCAGCAGCCTGCACGGTACCTTCCAGCACTATGAAAGTTAGCTAGCAGGAAGCTTCTAGCCCAGTTCCAGCTTCATCTCTCCATGTTCCCCAACCAAAGGGTGTGGTGTCTTCAATATTAGGGTCTTATCATCCAGTTTTGGTGAAAAACCAACAGCAGTGCAAATTGCCTTATATTGTTTGGAGAGCATCCCTGGCCAACAACTCAGGAGGTGCTCTACCCCCAGCATTGGAATTTCCACTAACCTTACGGCTTCTAGGAGTATTTATTTCCAGCCAAACAAGGTTCTTTTGTTCAAACTTTGAGCTTTGACACTGACAGGCACAGGCTGTTGGAGGATTTTTTTCCCCCTTACCCTGTTGTCTGACCTCCTTTATCCAACCATAAAGCTCCCAAGGATTTCAGAGTTGTGCGCGGCCCCTGAGCCTTGTGTGAACTGATTTCCCATGTGCTTGCCTGTGTTTCAGGAGCGAGCCTTTCTTTTCTTTCTTTCGATCTGTTTTATTTTTAACTGTGTGTGGGTATGAGGGGTGGGTATGTGCATGTGATTGCAGGTGCCCTCAGAGGCCAGAGGCATTGGAGTCCACCGGAGCTGGAGTTACAGGTGGTTGTTTGTAGACTCCGTGACATGGGTGCTGGGGACTGAATTTGAGTCCTCTGCGGGGGCCGTAACCACTGAGCCATCTCTTCAGCTCTCAGATGCCTTTCTAAATCTCTTCAGACATCCAGAAGTTAGCATTACATCACTTGTGAAATGGAGGGTTTTTGCCATGGGTGGCAGGGCCTCTGAAGGACCACCACCCACCATGCCAACCAATTGCCAGTTGATTTCAGAAGTCAGTAGCTTCAGGGATACTAAGGAAAAATGATAGTGTGGTCCAATATAGCATGAAAATTTTTCATTTCTTCTATCAGTTGTTTTCTCAAAAGTCCAGTGTTGAGTACAGCTGTGTGAATGGGAGCTACTTCCTTAGTTTCCTGCCACTATTCACAACCATTTGCCATGAGTTGCTCCATTTCCTCATGCTGAAGTGTCACCACAGGGATGACAAGCCTTTTCCCACCTGCAGCAGGCTCAGTGGGGATTGGGCTGACTCTTGTTGCTTGGGCTGGCCCAGGGCCTAGAGGAAGCCGCCATATCACACCAGCTATGATGAACACTCTCCACAGATCTGACTGTCTCTGGGCTACGCTGTGCCTGGCTGCCGCCTCTCCATTGCCTACATCTGGCTACTGAGAGGTCTCTAGGTTGGGCAAACACTTTCCAGTCCCAGTATACTTCCTCTCAGGAGAGGAGTATGCATAGCTTAGTCTGGTTGGGGGTGGGTGTTTAATTACCATCCTGGCGACAAACAGTCTTTTTCCCTTGTAGTGCTGACATTTATATATTAATTAAACTTTTGCTTCAGGCCTACAAACCTTCCAGAGGCTCAGTACCAGTGAATTTTGCTAACATTTTTTCCTTAGGAACTGCAGCTTGACACTAATATTGCCTCAAATTTGCTTTCCAGTTCCCACACAGGTCCCTTTGTCTGATTTTTTTTTTTTAAATCATCCCTCTTGATTGCTTTATTACTTTATGAACTTGTTTACATATTAGTCCACACTGTTCAGACCTGCCAGGGTGCTTCCTCCTAATAAGGCCATGCGCCACAATGGGCTCAATAGAGCCATTAGAGCCTGTACTAATCCCAAGGTAACTGCTGATCAACCTCTCTTCAATCTCCCGGTCCTATCTGGTATAATGAACGGGGCATGAGACACTGCCTTTCTCATGCTTGATTACTTCCATGTTTATCCTTCCTCTATTGTACTCTAGTTCATAGTAGTCTGGGGACCCCCGACTGGAGGACACTGAGCATCTGTGACAGTTCCTATGAGCCACCCATCAGAAACTGATTTCCCGCATATTGTCTCAGATCATGTCTTAGGGTTTCTACTGCTGTGGAGAGACACCATGACCACGTCAACTCTTATAAAGGAAAACATTTAATTGGGGCTGGCTTACAGTTCAGAGGTTTAGTACATTATCATCATGGTGAGAAGCATGGCGGCATGCAGGCAGACCTGATGCTGTAGAAGGAGCTCAGAGTTCTACATCTTGATCCTCAGGCAGCAGAAGGAGACTATGTGCCACACTGGGCATAGCTTGAGCATATGAAACTTCAAAGCCTGCCCCACAGTGACACATTTCCTCCAACAAGGCCACACCTACTTGAACAAGGCCACACCTACTTAAACAAGGCCACACCCACTTGAAGAAGCCATACCTCCTAATAGTGCCACTCCTTATGAGCCTTAAAATACACGTGTCTATGGGGGCCATACCTATTCAAATCACCACAGATCATATAGCTTTTGTCTTAAGCAGGGATGTGTGGTTCTATTAGTTTTTCTGCTTCCACACCACTAGGTTGATCCCATTTACTCCCTTGTCCTACAGCTTTAAGAGCAAGGCTGTGACTAATTTCTCATGTAAAAGCCTCTCCCAATTCAAACAGTTCAATGGCACAGTATTCCATGATTATCACAGCAGGCCATTGTAGCTAAAGTTTTCCTGCCTGACCCACAGTCAGGACAAATCTCTCTCACCCACCAGTCCCACAGCCTCTCAGACCCGACCAAGTAAACACAGAGACTTATATTGCTTACAAACTGTATGGCCGTGGCAGGCTTCTTGCTAGCTGTTCTTACAGCTTAAATTAATCCATTTCCATTAATCTATACCTTGCCACATGGCTTGTGGCTTACCGGCATCTTCACATGCTGTTTGTCATCTTGGCGGCTGGCAGTGTCTCTCTGACTCAGCCTTCCACTTCCCAGCTCTATTCTCCTCCTTGTCCCGCCTATACTTCCTGCCTGGCCATGGGCCAATCAGTGATTTATTTATTGACCAATCAGCAACACATTTGACATACAGACCATACAGACCATCCCACAGCAGGCCATTATTAAGGCCCCTGTGCACCACGGGTGTTTTTCTTTCCTCTGTATTAAAGATCATGCATGAGGGATATCTTCCATTCCTTCCTCCTTCTCATTGTCAAATTCTCCCTATGGATCCCAAGATTGGGGATTACAGGGAGGACTATTTAGCATTCATATCATTTGTACTTTCTTCCTTTTAAACCCTCCACCATGACATATGAAATGGCAAGCTAGCGGTCCATCGTGCATCAGTTTGAATGCACAAATAATAAACTCAGTTACCAATAACATGTCGGCGTTGCGTTAAGGACAGAAATCAATACAGCACTTCCCTTTGGTGTCATTTAACCAACAGTGAGCCCGGATAGGAATTCCCCACTTTGCTCTCCGGTGTGTCCCGTCATCCCTGTCTGTCTGCTGTGTGAGTCTGAATCTGTGTCTGCCTAGATGCCATCCTTGTGAATCTGTCCCTAGTCTATGACTGTATATCCATGTGTGTTTATGTGGCTATCCCTAACAAAGGGCTGAAGAGCACAGAGTATCACACAGGGAAGGAATGAGGGACACTTAGCAGAAATCTTCAACATTTTATGCTTCAAATGACCCCAACTGACACAGATAACAAACAATATTATATTTATCATTGTTTATCAAACAATACCCCTACATGTTGTCTTCAATGATTATGGATATTCATTGTTATAAGATTGCTTTCAGGGGCTGGAGAGATGGCTCAGAGGTTAAGAGCACTGGCTACTCTTCCAGAGGTCCTGCGTTCAATTCCCAGATGGCTCACAACCATCTATAATGAGATCTGGTGCCCTCTTCTGGCTTGCAGGCATACGTGCAAGCAGAATACTGTGTAAATAAAAAATAAATAAAAATTAAAAAAAAAAGATTGCTTTCAATATATGATTCCCACAACACAAACAAAGCATGCATGCATTACTCCTGGGTCAGGGACATGGAAGAGTAGGTAACTCAAGATTACGGCTACTCATTAGCTTTGGTTGTAAAAGTTGACTATGTGGGAATCAAAGGCAAATAAGGTTGATTGTTAAGCACGGGTTAAAGAAACAGGCTGACTAGGCAGTAGGCTATCAGTCTTAAGTGACTGCAAGGTGTACTATTAACTGACTGTGAGGTCCAGCAAAAGTTCCAGTCTCTTGGAGTGTAAGAGATTTTTATCATACTGCATTGCCACACCACCTTTTTTTTTTTTTGAGAGAGTGAGTGAGACAGAGAGAGAGAGAGAGAGAGAGAGAGAGAGAGAGAGAGAGAGAGAGAGAGAGAGAGAGAGGAGAGACACACAGATACACAGAGACAGAGAGTGTCACACTATAGCCCTAGCTGGCCTCTAGAGAACAGCAACTTCCTGGCTCTACCTTCCGAGTTCTGGGATTAAACGGCATGTGCCCTGTTTTTTGTTTTTTTTTCTTTCATTTCTGTCAATCCAGAGTATAATGCAGAGGATAGCATCTGCATCTTTTTCTCATAATTCCCTTCTTAAACAGGCAAATTCTTTCTGGACATCTCAGCTTCAGTGGCATGTCTTACTGATGCCACACCGTGCTTATGACCGCATCCCATATGTATGTGCCACTTTCAAGGACTGAGGTATCACATGGCCAATTCCACTCATCAAGGAGGCATGCCATTGCATACCGACAGAGGAAGACGGCCTTTCTGGAACTTTCCCCACAGACACTCCTCCTGCAGGTGGAACACTGCTGTCTTGTTTACATGTCTTTTCACTCAAGGCAGGAGCAATGCACCCACTACTACAGCAGGTGTCTCAGTCAGGGTTTCTACTGCTGTGACGAAACACCATGACCAAAAATCAAGATGGGGAGGAGAGGGTTTATCTGGCTTACACTTCAGCATTGCTGTTCATCACGGAAGGGAGTCAGGACAGGAGCTCAAACAGGGCAGGATCCCAGAGGCAGGAGCTGATGCAGAGGCCATGGAGGGGTGCTGCTTACTGGCTTGCTTCCCCTGGATTGCTCAACTCACCTTTTTATAGAACTCAGGACCAGTAGGCCAGGGTTGGCACCACCCACCCTGGGCTGGGCCCTCCCTCATTGATCCACTAAATGAGAAAATGCCCTACAGCTGGATCTCATGGGCGGCATTTCCTCAGCTGAGGCTCTTCCTCTCCGACGACACTAGTCTGTGTCAAGTTGACACACAAAATCACCCAGCAGAGTAGGAGAGCCTGCCATTCCTGTCACGTGGGAAAGGATGACATCAAGATTGCTCCCTTTGCGTGCTCCACCTTCAGAGAGCTTAGCCCCAGTTGCTCTCTTATTGCCCATAGCAGAGATAATGCAGGTACCACCCCTAAGCCCATCATTGGGACCTCACACACAAAGTACCAAGTGTGTGAATTTTTCTTGCGGGAGACAAGCAAACATCTATTCAGTCAGATTAGGATACCAATAACATGTCCACCCATGTCTACCTTGGGGACCCAATGAGTTTAATTAGGGTTACAGGAGCAGTGGTGGGTGGTTACTTACAGGAGCATAGGAGGAGTATTTACAGGAGCATGGAGCTCATTAACAAAAAAGAAAAGCCAAAACTGAGGTTTAAGGTGGCTAAGAGCTGGACCAGAGCTTTACCGGGGATTAGCAGAGTCTGCTGAGCTTCAAACCAGGGTCTCGGAGCGGACGGTGGTGACACATGCTTTTAATCCCAGATCTCTGAGTTCGAGGCCAGCCTGGTCTACAGAGAGAGTGAGTTCCAGGACATCTAGGGCTACACTGTCTCAAAAAAACAACCTCCTCAAAAATATCCCAAACCCCAAACCCTAGGGTCTCTGCACCCTACAGTGCAGGGTTGTTTTCCTGAATTGTGTGGCTGCTGTAGTTTGATGATGTTGTCATGGAAAATGCTCTCCACACAAAGTAGGCGGGGCCGAGTGCTGTCATGCTACTGTCACTTTTGTGGTGTGTCAACACATCCACCAGGACATTGCACCATGCCACCTTGTTGAAGATAAAGAACATTTAGGGGAAGGAAAAAAAACCTGCAAAAAAGAAAGCAGGCTGGTGATGTCGCTCAGTGCCAAAGTGCTTGTTCAGTCTCCAGGACCACAAGAAGTTAGAAAAAAAAAGGTGTGTGTGTGTGTGTGTGTGTGTGTGTGTGTGTGTGTGTGAAGGGGTGAGGGCTTATAGAACTCGATACACATATAAAAAATGAAGTCTTTCATTCGTTTTCAGCGGACATCTCTTGTAGCAGCTGTTGAACCTTTCAAGAAGAAAGACAGAACAAAAGAACATTACATCGAGGCCTTGGAATGGGCACTCAGTAAAGGATCCCGGCCCTCAGAGCCCTCACCGTGTGTGTGTGGCTATAAAATGGATACCTTCGTAATGTCTGGCCTCTTGTTTTTCTTCTCGTGCAGACACTGGCTGGCAGCAGAGTACATGGCTTCCACGGAGGCGGGGTCAGCATCGTCCATCTTCTCATCCGTGTAATCTTCAATCGTCTTCTCTTCATCCTCAATCTCGTCTTTAATATCCAGCTAGAAAGTGGGCATTAAAACGTGGTTAAAAGCGTCACAATGAAAGAAATCAGAATGTGAATTTAGATTACTGAGATTCGTCTATTTTTGTAATAACCTGAACTCTTACCTTACTATTTTTTATAACCTCCTTAGGGATTGAAGCCACACAGGACAAACGGTAGATAAGGAAACGTATACACATGCACACATTACTGACTTGCTAGTTTTTTCCCCATTTACTCCTACCCATCGGCTTTACAACTCTCATCCTTCTGTGATGAGCTCACTGCCTGCATTCCTGTTGGCAGCATTTGCCAGTTCAGGGTCATCAGCTTCCTGATCATTTCTGAAAATGCAATTCTACCTTCTGGATCCAGACTCCCCGTTTTTATCCACAGGGACTCAGACTGATGAATGAAAGCAAAAGGAGGACGGGGAGGCTGGGAGACGAATGAGGAGGAGATGGTGCTGTGGGCTGAACGGTCAGTTGAGTGATGGCCCCAGAAGCATGTATCTATGTCTGTCTACGTTCTGGTTCCTGGAGTCTGAAAATATGCCCTCATGTGGAAAAATGATCTTTCTAGATAGCTGAAGTGAGTGGTCATCTTGGGTGCAGTGGTTTCGATGGAACGTTTGCCATAGGCTCATTTGGTCTTCTATTGGTGGTGCTGTTGGGGAAGGCTTGGGAGGTGTGGCCTTGCTGGAGGAGCTGGGGGTTGGACTTTGAGAGCTTAAAGCCTCACTCTACTCCCAGTTCACTCTGTTTTGAGCTTGTGGTTTAAGATGTGAGCTGCCAGCTTCCTGTTCCTGAGGCCATGCCAGTCACTTGTTACCATATCTCCCTGTCAAAGACTTTGGAACCATAAGCCCCAATACACCCTTTCTCTTATATGTGTATGTGGGTCATGGCATTTTATCACAGCAATAAAACAGTAAGTTAGACACTGAGTTATCCAGGCAAACTCTAACTTCAATGACAAGTGTATGTATATATATGAGACAAAAAGAAAAAGATACAGAAGAAAATGTGACCACTAGCAGCAGAGACTGTAGCGACAAGGCTATAAGCCAAAGCTACCAGAAGCCACCAGAACCTGTAAGAGGCTGGGAATAGTTTCTCCTGGTCGCTCAAGAGGGATTCATGGTCTTAACAAACCTCGGCTTCAGACTTCTGCCCTGTATTCTGTCACTTTAAGACATCTGGTTTATAGTATATTTTGTAGTAGCTCAAATAAATTTGTATTGAAAGGAAGGATTATGGGTGAGGAGTGGAATGTAGCATTCCAGAGCTCTTCCAAAAGATGGATTGTGAAACTACACAGGCAGTGGGAGGAAGGCTCACTGACAGGCCACACATTACAGTCTTAGGACTTCCCAGCCAGACTACACTCAAGAGTGTACTGTTTCCTGACTTTTTTTTTTTTTTTTTTTTTTTGGTTTTTCGAGACAGAGTTTCTCTGTGTAGCTTTGCGCCTCTCCTGGAACTCACTTGGTAGCCCAGGCTGGCCTCGAACTCACAGAGATCCGCCTGCCTCTGCCTCCCGAGTGCTGGGATTAAAGGCGTGCGCCACCGCCGCCCGGCCTGTTTCCTGACTTTTACACTTTCCCTGTTAGATGAGGCAGTGCAAACCTGTGACTCACAGAGATCCGATATTTCATTCCTATTGGAACCACGGTGGTGACTTTTACACCTCCTGAAGGGGAGAAAGGTCTCACTAGGAGACCTAGGTAGCCTTTGTGTAGGCAAGGCTGCCTGAAAAAGAAGCCAAAGCTGGTGAAGCTCGGGTCATCACCCCTAACCTCATACCGCTTTCCCGGCCCTGTGGGGCTTCGTTTGTTTTGCTTTTCTATTGTTTTGTTTTAGGGATCCAATTTAGGGCCTTGTGCAAGCTAGGCAAGAGTTCTCCCAACCAACCTGCACCTCTAAATCCCTCCTATAAGAAATCATTTTTATACTGATTTATATACTATGGGGGGTGGAGGTCATAGGACAACTTGAAGAAGCCAGTTCTCAGGTCAAGAAACTGAACTCAGGTCGGGCTAGGTGACAGCACCTTTACATGCTGAGCATCTCACTGGCCTCTGTATTTCTAATGTTTATGTTTTTAATCCAACCTCCACCCTGAACTTTATCTATGTCCATATACTAACAGCTTAAATGAAATGTGGCATCCCCAATTCAGGTTTCTCCCTTGACCTCACATAACTGATGAGACAGAGAACTTTATATTTCTGGTTAACATAAAATTTTACCTTTTGATCTGTCATTATAAAAATGTGAATACCATTAGAATATTCTCATAGATATCTTCCAGTGCAAATATATTATATATACTATTTTAATATTATATTTTCAACAGACCATGGACATTTTTGATTTATAGTAGTGGACATTTGTAACAATCTCACATACTACAGTTTACTCAAATTAGTATTGGCACTAAGACTTTTGTTGTCCTTATGAAGCTGTATTTTAATATCTGAATGTATGTGTGCTTCTATATGTGGGTATGTATACAAGTTTTCAGGTGCCTGTGGAGGTCAGAGGCCTCAGACCTGGAGCTGGGGTTACAGGCAGTTGTAAGACACCTATCCTGGGTGTTGGGAACTAAACCTAGGCCTCGGGAAAAGCAGTATGAGCTCTGGACTACTGTGCCATCTCTCCAGCCCTGTCATCAAGACTGAACAAGCAAGTTACACCTTCTGATCATCTGATCCTAATTCTTGGACATGATCTAGTATATATCTATTGTCTGAATTGTTCGTACCAGTTTGTGCAATTAGGGCATAGAAATAAATGAGGATAAAAGGAATATAGTTAATTTTGAGAAACATTTATATGATATATATATATATATATCTTTAGAGATAGATACAAAGAACACATATATATGTCTTTATATATATGAATATCACATATATTTCTTTATATATATAAAGATATATATGTAAAGACACATGTATATATATCTTTAAAGATACATATATCTTTTTAAAGGATGTAGCATAATTTATCTAAAGTTTAGTTATCATTTAACTCATCTACTTATAAACTATCAATCAAATGTTCAATGTAAAAATTAAAAGAGTAGGAATGGTAGTACAGGAGGGAAGTGTTAATAAAATACTCCATGATTAAATAGAGAGCTTTTACTGGCATTTATATTCTTATGCAGATATAAATGAAAACTATGATTTTTTTTTCCTATGACCTGAAAATGGCCTCACCATCCAGAGTCTGTGCACTTCAGAAAGCAACAAACCATGGGTAAACTAGTTTTCTTCTCATTTTGCTACAAAGACACTGGAACAAAGAATATATAAATAATCTTTTCAGGCTTCACAAATACATCCCAGCAAATCCAAGACTGTAATACATCATGTACTTTCACTATGCCATTACACATAGCCAGTCATATGTCAGAAATGCCATTTCTATATGACATATTTACACACATGAATTTAAAACCATAAAGGCAAAAGAGGAAAAGACTGAAAAAAATGAATTAGTTACTAGTAACTGAGGTTCACGGTTTTCATCCACAGCCGCGAGTCCGGTTATTAGCTCCAATAAAACCTAGGAAGACAAAGAGACCCATTAGCAAAACACTGAAGACATCAAGTAGACATTGAAAGGAATATGGACTGGGCCCAGGGACTTGAACAGGCTAAGCAAGGCTTGCTTGTTGTGCTAACCACTGGCCTGGAACGTGGATGTTGACAGAAATCTCCCTAGTCACTTCTGTATAAAGCCCATGGATACAGGTATCCAAAAGTTCTACTGAGCATGTGTTCTGGAAACTTCGGGTCCTTTCAATTCTTACAGGGCGCTCAGGAGAATCTTCTTTTCTAGCCAGTAGCCACATTTTACAACCCCGTGCCTTAACGTTATGGTGGAGTGAAGTTCAGTTTCCATAAATGAAACATATTTGGAAAAGTAAGATGGAGATGGAGCTCCATTCATCTCCCCTCATTCTCCAGTTCTGAGTGTTAGATGATAAAATGACAAGTGACAAGAAAGGAAATGTACATATTATGTGAGGTGATTAACTTTGCGCTCTGACTCAATTGAAACTTCCTTTGAATGCACGGTAAGAGAATCTTTCCTTGCAGTAATTAAAAAGAAATCAACTCAAAACTTTTACATACTGCGAATTATTCATAAACTTTCTGGTGGAACTACAGGCTAATACAAATAGTTCATACATTTATATAGGAGAGCTAAACCAGACACATAGGCTACAACATCCTAATTTAATTCACAGTTTAAAAGGAATGATCATGGGCTGGAGTGAGGTTTAGCAGGTGAAGGCACCTGCCACCAAGCCTGGCAACCTGAGTCTGATCGCTGGAACCAGCATGGTGGAAGGAGAGAACTGGCCCCCGCAAGCTACCCTCCGGCTCTTGGCCTACGGACGCCGTGGCACGCGCATGCACACACACTGTAAGGAAATACACGGAAAACAATAAAGGGAACGATCACGTACCACACCGAAGCTGTAGATGTCAGACTTGGGTGTTATTTCTCCTCGCAAAGCTTCTGGTGCCATATAAGCCGTTGTACCCACAATGCGGCTGGTCATGACTGTCTGGGTAAACTTTGCAGAAGCCCGGGCGAGCCCAAAGTCAGATATTTTGGCAGTAAAGTCTTTGTCTAGTAAGATATTTGCACTGGGGAAAAATAAAATTTAAATTTGAAGGAAGAAAACATTTTTCTTGCCTCTGAGGTCAAATAGGTTCTTAGAAAGAGGTATATGTGTATATATGCATATATATACATGTGTAATATAGATGAATTAGTTACATTGTGTGTCATTTTATAGATGCAGCATAGAAGACTGAAATGTGTTTAGGTCAGTCAGTTATTCAGATGACAGCAAGAGAGAAATGACTATTTTCCTTTCTTTTCTGTATCTTGAAGAGAGATGTTTAAGGGAATGAAAGCATAATAAAATTTCCTCTTAAGGGAGGGCACAGTTTTAGTACAGCCTTCCAAAGGAGCTTTCCTTAAAAAAAATTTTTTTTTAATGGTGCTGGTGACTAACTCCAGAGCTTCACTGGGGGGTCGGGGGGGAAGGGAGGTAACAGCTTTCCTACTGAGCTATATCCTCAGGCCAAAAGCACTGTTCTTTGGAAGAAATTCGGATTTTCTAATAATGGGGTATATTTGCATACCTTCCGTATTACATGGCAGTTCAGTCTTGTCCGCGGTGTGTAGAGTCATACCAGGCTAGGGAGCCCGACAGCCCCTATAGTCATTAGCCATTTCCAGGTGCTGTGCTGACATTCTGTGTTCTTTCAGCCACGCTGAGAGACCTCATGGGCTGTCTTAGCCTAAGTTCTACTGAGCTGAGGGGGACTCAGAAGCCATGGCTCAACTTTGTTTGGTACTGCCTCTGCCTCCGCTCCTGCTCTCTCTGTCCCTAGTGACTACCCCTGCACCCCAAAGTTCTCTGGGATTAGTTTCTAGAAATGAGTGAGAACATGTGGTATTTGTCTTTCTGTGTTGGGGTTCGAAATGAGTCAAAGGCACCTTAACCCCTTTCCTAACATTTCTCAATACATTTAGAAACAAATTTCCAACCAAACCTCAGCAATTTTTATTTCATTCACCTGTCCTTCCTGTATCTATCTATCTATCTATCTATCTATCTATCTATCTATCTATCTATCTATCTATCTCTATCTCTATCTATCTATCTATATATATAATTTGAGACAGGGTCTGAGTATGTAGCTCTGGCTGTTCTGGAACTATGTAGACCAGGCTGACCTTGAACTCAAAGAGAGTTTTGGATTAAAGGTGTGTGCTACCCTGCAGGGCTGTACTCCTAGGAATCTTAAAGAAATATCATGCACAGCTAAAAGATCTTCATCCATTTATCATATGCATTCATTTGTATGTATTTTCTTACTTAGAGCTCCTACAGTTTATAGTATTTAAGCTGAATGCTTAACCCGAGGGTCAAAAAAAAAATCACAGGTCTTATTTGTGACAAAGGCATACGAATAATTTTTAAAAACCAATGAAGATGACATGATGGTAATATTCGGCACGAAATGCTGAGAGAATAATTGTGTGTAGGTGAAAGGAGGGTTCTCAAGAGCAGTTGAGAAGCATGCTTGGTCTTAAAGAGTTATTAGAAGTGGATAGTACTAGGAGGGAAGAAAGACATATGGCAGGCACGTGGATGAACAAGGTGGTGAGAACGTAAGGAGTATACAGTACACACGACCACTCGTGTCCATGGAACACAGAGAGAATTTGGACTTTATCCTTGGGCACCAGGACACCATTCAGCTTTCAGAATGGGCGACTGATGCTATCAAACATGTTTTAGGACCTTAAGCTGGCACTGTGGTAGTGAACAGCTGAGACCTAGTGCAAACTGGTTTTATGGAGTAGGAGGGCTTAAAGTAAAGCTGATAGAAGTTAACAAATGTTAGGTAGAAAGAATACCGGGGGTAATAGGAAGTGCAAATTTTCAGGCACATCCAATAAACCTGTGCAACAGCATGGCATAGAATCCACAGGAAGAACAGAAGACAGCGAGCAAAATCCCAGCACATAAGACACAGAGACTGACTTGTCTCTGAACCAGTCCCTCCTCTGTGTGGCTCTTTGCATTCTCCATGACCGTAGTTTAAGGACTGTCTTGTTTTCTCTACTGCATCCTTTTCCTTTTAGGCCCTTCTCATAGCCATGTAAGCATGCACTAGTCTTGGCAATCTCAAGGGTTTCCTAAATGACATACCTGTTTTCAGATGTCACACTTCAGTATCAAAATATCATCAACAGACTGTTTCTATTCTAGTCCCAGTTTTCTGGCTCCCACTCTCTCCTCTATACGACCTGACTTCTAACTCAATTCCTAGATGGAAACAGCTCCCCCTAAAGTCATGACTGACCTGGATGGTAGTAATCCAGTGGGTTAAGTTGACTTCTGACCATCCCTCTTGGTAAACTTTCTTTACTTGATTTTAAAGACGGTACAATCCATGTATAGGCTTTCATCTACGTATGTGTTTCTACAGTTTATTAGATATCTTTTGGGGACTGTCCCCTTTTGTTTGGCTATGTCTTAGGGATCCTTGGGATTTAATCCTGGGCCCTTATGCTATATATTTCTGTAATTAAATGATAACTCCTTAAGTATCATGTACATGCAAGTGCTATCCACATCCCTGTCCTCAGCTGAACTTCTACCTATAAATCTATGTCATACTGTCTGCTTAGCCTCTCCACTTCCATGTCTTAAAAGAATTTCAAACACATAATGTACACCTCTCCTAAGCCTTCCCCAACCTGAACCTTTTCCAGTCCTTTTTATATAAGTGAGTCATGTCACGGTCACTCCCAGAGTGCAACTGTGCGTGTTGTAAGTTCAAAGGCTATTATTACTGATACTCCTTCTTCCTGAACCCTCTACAAGCTAAGATATAAACACGTCTTGACATCTTAATCACTCGTATCTGCTCGCTTCTGCTCATATGAACTATGTCTACCAAGATGTCTGCAGCAATCTATTAATTACCCCTGATTTTAAACTGCTCTCTATGCTAGACTCAAAGTGATTCACAAAACTTGAATATGATACTGTAGTCCAGTAGTTCTTAACCTGTATGTTGCGACCCCTATGGGGTCGAACGACCCTTTTACAGGGGCCAAATATCAGATATTCTACATATCAGATATTATAACTAATTATGAAGTAGCAATGAAAATAACTTTATAGTTGGGGTCACCACAACATGAGGTACTGTATTTATTAAAGGGTTGCAGCATTAGGAAGGTTGAGAGCCACTGCCATAGTTTTATAACTTTCAACAGCATCTCATTACATTTATGATCAAACCCTTGCCTTTGTCTACTGGGCCCCATAGGACTTGATTGCCGGCTCATCTATTTAATTTCCCTCATGTCTCCTACCCCTCACTTTCTACACATCAGTCACACTGTAATCATTTCACTTCCTGTAATTCATCATGAAGTCATATTCCCTCTTTAAAAAAAAAAGATTTATTTATTTTTTGCATGAGTGTTATCTGCATGTACACCTTTATGCCAGAAGAGGGCGTGAGATCCCACTAGAGATGATTGTGAGCTACAGTGTGGCTGCTGGAAATTGAACTCAGGCCCTCTGGAAGAACAGCCCATGCTTTTAACCACTGAGCCATCTCTCCAGCCCCCTCATATTCCCTCTTAACATTCACCTTATAGGCTTATGCTTTCTAGAATATTTTCCTCATCTTCTATACAGCTACCCTCAAACTGCTTCCCTTATTTCCAGCTCATTGTTCAAGTCTCAGCTTAAACATTGTCTTTCAAAATCCTTTATAGTAATACTGAACACTATAATAAACACTAAATCTCTATTGTTTTGTGATTCTCTGACTGATGTTGAGCTCTGCTTTGAGCTACATCTGCCAACCATATCATGTACAATGTCTAGCATACAGCTGGTAAATATTTAATGAGGTAAATAACATACGAGCGGAGAGGACCGAAAACTATCCATGCAGGACGAAGGTGATTCAGGAGAGATCAGTGATCCAAAAACCAAGAAAGAACCCAATCTCCCCAAGGAGAGGTAGGTCACAAGGCTCGGCACAGTCGAGATTATAGGTGTGCGCAGTGCAAAGAGCATTCCAGTGTCGGGGACAGTCCAGCCATGTCCGTTCAGACACAAGTGCAGAGTGACTGAAAAGAGTGACAGAAAATTGTTCTTTAAAGATGGCTTTCAAAAGCTTCTTCAGAGGAGATTTACCTTTTAATGTCTCTATGAATATGATGGTTTTCGTGTAGAAAACTGATGCCATCAGCTGCACCCTGAGCAATCTTGCATCGCATGTGCCAAGAAAGCGGTGGAGTGCCATCCTTATGAAGAGACAAACCGGTTTTAAAACAATGGTTTAGGTGAAAAAAAAATCCATAGAAAACCCATAACAGTATTCTTTGTAGTCACATTTGTATCACTAAGAATTTAGGGTTACAATTTTTAAAGCTCACAAAATATAATCTCAAGTAGATTAAGTGGACTCTGTACTCCTTACTTGAAAATAAAAACATGTGAGAACATCTTCAACATTCAGCCTTTACTGATGCTTTGCATTTTAAATTTGTAATACTTGTCAACACATAAACTGCATCATTTTTCAGAACAAGAAAACAGTAAGTTTAATGTGGTTTAAGTGATCCTGACCAAATGTGAACATTAGCAATCCAACGTAGAAACGGTAAGTGAGACAATCTGGTGATGGGTGTCTTACCAGGCAGGACAGTCTGTCTAGCAAGGAACCATTGGGCATGTAAGCATACACTAAGCACAGGTCATCGCTGTCACTTGAGAAGCCAAGTAGCTCTACCAGGTTTTCATGCTGACACCTGTACAAGTGAGGGAGCATGCAAAATTGTTATAATAAATCTTTCCAGGAGTTACTCCATGTAGGAGTTTTAGCAGAAAGATCATAGGGATAAACTGCATATGTAAATGTGTGTGTACGTAATATGTAATATACAGAGCATATGTAGTATGACAGATGCTCCTAACATGCTAACATGCTCATTGAAATTGTTAATTCTTTTCTGTGAAAGGGTCTTCCGGTTTCAGTAATACTGAGCCACAGCAGGAGCGAACCTCTCCCGATTCTGTAGCCACATTTGATCAGATGAAGGGAACCCGAGACAGGTTAGTTCAGGACGAGGCTAGTGCTTGTCTTTGTTCCATGCATTTTCAAGATCTGGAAACTTAGAGCAGGGACAAATCCTCTAACATGACAAAACTCTAACCCACCCCAGGCTTTACAGGAACGACCTTCAGTCACATCTGACTTTCATATTTACGGTCTTTAACCGCATGCCTGTCTACCGTCTGAGCCTTGTGTTCACTTGACAGAAACGAGTACACCAGCCACAGACTAACAAAGCTGCAGGCCTCCGCTGCAAGCGCAGTCCTGCCCCCTCCTGGACCGGTGATGCACGGCACACTGACAACCTCAGCCTCAGGGCTTCCCTGCAGACAGAACATGGTACTGACATCACAGTACCACATAACGTGGATGCTGTGATAATTTATGAATCGCTGTGAGAGCCGGGAAGCACACACGGCACCTGAGAGATGCTCCATTCGCAGTTTATTAATTTGTTCATTCCATGCCATCTAGAACTCTGCATTACCCTTGTATAAAAATCAGACTTCTACTGTCAGACATACTCTGAGAAGTGTTAGTTGAATCGATAAATCCTCCATTTTCACCAAATTTGCATATTTTAAACAGAAGTAGGTAATGTTGATCGAATTTTTACTATTTATAAAGTAGGTGGAGACTCACCTGTTTTGTTTCATTAACCTTCACAACATGTCATCATTTTTACTCCCTCATGGGTAGAGATAAGATAAAATTTGGACTAGGTCATTCTGGTAGTAAGGTCTAGAAAGTGACACTTAAAAAATTGTAACACTAGAGGCTGGGGATGTAGTGCAATCCACAAGTGTGTGAGCACCACGTGTAGCTTTAGGTGGTGCCGGGGATAAAACCCGGAGCCTTGTTCGTGACGGACATTCCACCACCTGGGCCACAAGTCACTCTTAGAACTGGACAATGGAGGAGGCAGAGGTGAGGAGGTCAAAGCTGAGGAGCGCTTGGACTGTTGTTTCCATGTGTGCCGTTTTTACTGTTCCCGAGTTACTCTGGGTCTATTAGCTATTTTATGAGGGTAAATAAGTGGAGTGGGTGATGGATAGCGATGGTCTCACGGCGATGGTTTAATAACTTCCTTAGGATTCAGATCAAAAGCTCCGGAATTAGCTACATCTGGACCAGAACCCAACCCTAATACTTGCTGGTGATGTGAACTTGGGCAAATTATTTCACACTTCTAAATCTTGTTTTTTTTTTTATAAAGGAGGTGGTACTCATTGTTCTCAGAATTAAATGAGTCCATGAACTTCAAGCAGATAATGCGGTGTATGGCATACTATATATACTCAAATACCAATCACTGGAATGATCACATTTGCTGATTTGGTTCTCCTCCCCTTCCTTACGGAGCCCATCAATATAGTCTCAGCCCCTTTGCACATAGTATTTCTTTACATTCCTCTGAATTTTAACTTCTCTGAGGGTCTGTTATTTTATAAATAGTTTTTGTTTTTATTACTTATTCAATTTTTTTTGAGACAGAGTCTTCCTTTATAGCTCAGGCTGTCTTGGACCTTGCGATGTAGCACAGGCTGCACTTGAATTTACAACCTCCTACCTCCACCTCCCAAGTACTGGGATTACAGGAGTGTACCAACATCATGCTTGGATTTAGAAATTGTTTGTTTTGTTTTGTTTTTTTTAAATAGCTACTACTGAACTGTCAGGAATTCTGGCAATAGAAAATCTGATCACGGAAAACACTTCAAATTCTCTGTAACGTTGTGATGTAGAATACTGACTACTTTTAATCTGCAGGCATGAGTATATGTGATCATCTAGTTGGAGAACCGATAGTGCTAGTCTCAACCCTGTATCTTTACACCCCCGAATCTGCACACTTGGGTGTGAAACCGGGTCCCCTTGCTCTGTGCCATGTTCTCACCCCATGCCACACTGGCAGATCAACACTTACTTCGCCATTACTTTAATTTCTTGGTCAAACTGCTGCTTCAGTTCTTCGGTACTGATTTCAACCATCTATGAAAATAAAAATATATATATTGTGACATGATACAATTACCCTGTGGCTCCTAAAGCTGGCAGGGGACTCAAGAAAGAGTGTCCTGCTGATTTGCTTACTTTACAATCACATGGTAAGCCAGATCTGGTGATGCGGGGTTGTAGTCCCAGATAAGTGGGAGACTGAGGGTGAAGAACATCAAGTTCAAGGCCTGCCTGGCTTCCAGAGTGAGTTCAAGGGCAGTCAATGCAGCTTGACCTTTGCTCCAAGTGAGACATTAAGGGGGCAGGGATGTAGCTCAGTGGTAAAGTGCTGGCCTAACATAATCAAGGCCCTGGGTTCACTAACAGTACAGTAAAATGAATTAAAAATAATGTCTTGCTACCGTCTGCATGGCTGGGTCCTGGCAATCTGACAGGGAGCGACAGGAGATTAAGACAGACAGACAGAAAGAGAGAAGTAACACAAAGCTGGAATCAAGTGAGATGGAGTCATACCAGGCACCCAGAGACTCGGTGTGTTTATTGTGTACAGCATGTCCTAGCATGCCAGTGAGCTAATCTTGGTAGGGGGCTTCTCTGTAGGGGAGCAGCCTCAGGCTGCAGTCACCTGGGATGAGAAAACAGAGGTCGAGACCCTTTATATGTACCTGCTTTGGCTAAAGGCCAACCATTTGTCAGCAGCCACACTCAGACCACAGGAGAGCCCGAGGCACTGAGGTCTTTGACATGGCCATTCTCAGGTCATGAATGCTCATTCACACAGAGGTACACATGCTCTCCACTAAGACCTTACTCTCTTTGTTTTATAGAATTAGTGACATCTAGAAATACACGTGATTGCCCTAGGTCCATGTTGTTTTGGAGAAGGGAAAATATATATATATATATATATATATATAAACCTTTCTGGGTTATGGTAGGAACAAAATGAAATGTGGAACTTCACCACAGGGAAAATTTTAAAGAAGAATTCTGTGTAACAAAATGAAAGCAAATATGAATAGAAAAAGAATTGAATCCTAGGAAAGCACCTGCAGCCTCCTTGACAAGGGATGCCCGTGGTACATACATGCACAGGACATTGTCATTTTAAAGATATAACAATTGATATTATAATTAATCAATAGTTAAAGGTTAAAAAAAACTTATAGAAATAGGGGAAAAGGACAGGCAAAGAAACTTCTTTTTCATAATGTGCATTTAAAAAAAATATTGTTTTTGCTGGGGGTTGTGGCACATACCTTTAACCTCAGCACTTGGGAGGCAGAGGCAGGTGAGTTTGAGGCTAGCCTGGTCTACAAAGTGAGATCCAGGATAGCCAGGACTACATAGAGAGATCCTGTTTCAAATATATACATATATATTATTTTTAAAATTACATTTATTTAGTGTGTGTGTGTGTGTGTGTGTGTGTGTGTGTGTGTGTGTGTGCCACAGTGAACATGTGGAGGTCAGAGGACAACGTGTAGGAATCAGTTCTCTTCTTTACCGAGTGGGTACCTGGAATCAAACTCAGATTATTAGGCTTGGTGGCAAGCACCTTTACCTACTGAACTATCTCACTGGCACCTAAATGATATTTTTAAATGAGACAGGTCATACAAAAGCATCCAGATGACATTTTCTTAGTATTTTATCTGTTGAGGAATATTATTATTATTATTATTATTTTTCTGAGATCAAACATTTATTCCACCCTGAAGGAAGCACCTTAAGCAGGAAGGTAAACAACTCCAAATAGCTTCAGGAAGTTCCTGAAACTGACCAGATTCACTAGGCTCCTCCCTGACAGAACAAGCAATAAAAGCTGAGAGTCGTGTCTGTCGTCGTCGTCAGTAGTGCTCTTGTGTCCCAGGCAGATAGAAGGAAGCTGGGCTGCAAAGAAGACTCAGACGAGGCCAGCTGCCAACTTAATAGGCATCTGTGGAACATCCCGTCTGAGAGCTGTAGGGCATACTCTCTTCTCAGCAGCGTCTTCCTCTGTGTTCTTCTCTTCTCCCTGGTCATGCCATTCTCGAGGAATATTATTTTTAAGGTGTGTTATGTTTGTTTATGCTTTGGAACATTTGCTTAATGATGCAATGTGGTGATCTATTGTTTGTAAAGAAATAAAGCTTGCCTGAAGATCAGAGGACAGAGCCAGCCACAGAGTTCGCCATAGAGGTCAGGCAGTGGTGGCACACACCTTTAATCCCAGCACTTGGGAGTCACAGGCCTTTAATCCCAGCACTAGGAAGGCTGAGACAGGAAGTGATATGGCTGGGCAGAGAAAGGAGTATAAGGCAGGAGGAGACAGGAGTTTGGAGCCCTTTTGGCTGAGGACACAGAGGCTTTTGGCCTGAGGATTCAGTAGTGGTGAGAAGTTTCTCTAGTGGCTTGTTCCTTTGTCTCTCTGATCTTTCAGCTTTTACCCTGATATCTGGCTCTGGGTTTTTATTAGAAGACCATTTAGGATTCGTGCAACAATGCAAAGATGTGTTGCATTCATTTATGTTGCATTTGTTTAACCCTGTGAAGCTGTGTTACTGTGCCTGTCTAAAACACCTGATGGTTTAATAAAGAGCTGAATGGCCAATAGCAAGGCAAGAGAAAGGATAGATGGGGTTGGCAGGCAGAGAGAATAAATAGAAGGAAAAATCTGGGAGAGGAGGGATCTAGGAGAGAAAGAAGGAGGAGGACACCAGGGGCCAGCCACCCAGCCACCCAGCCACCCAGCAATACAGCAAGCAATGGAGTAAGAAACAAAGGTATACAGACATAAAGAAAGGTAAAAGCCCAGAGGCAAAAGCTAGAGGGGATAACTGAAGAAAAGCTGGCTGGAAACAAGCTAAGGCCAGGCATTTATAAGTAAGAATAAGCCTCTGTGTATTTATTTGGGAGCTGGGTGGCAGGCCCCCAAAAAGCAAAGAGCCAAAAAAAAAAAACCAAACCAAAACAAAAACAAAACAACTAACCACACTTATCTTTAATCTAAATTATGTAAGAGGTGTTGTGGTGCAAGGCTTCTCAACTTTATCTTGTGAATCTACCACAATTACAAACATGATTCTATTATGTCTGTGTCCGTAAATGCTTTTCTAGAGATAGTTCTTCACAGCCCTCAGTAGGTTCTTACATGATAAGAGAGACGAAGTTAGGATGGGGTCCACTTAAAGGGAGCAGGTGCTGAGATGATAAATCCGTGAATGTTAACTGACAGCCTGTTCCGACAGGAGGAAGGGGGACAGCTTACCGCTCCGAGCTTCTTCACCGCCACGGTCCTGTTGTTCACGCAGCCTTTGTACACCACTCCGAAGCCTCCCTCTCCCATTCTGCTGCCGCCGACAGAAACAGGCCGTTCATCAAAGTTGTTCGTGATACTCTTCAGTTCATAAAATGAAAAACTGTGAAAACCTACCACGTCGACAAAACAAGGAAGAGGTGCTTACACAAAGGAATGTGGCTTTAGTAACTGATACTTTCTCAATTTGAAGATCACACACACACACACACACACACACACACACACACACACACTCACATGTAACCTTTTTTATGACAATTACACTTGGTGATTCTGTACCAAACACTCTATCTCCACCCAAAATACTTATTTGGCTAAGTTCGGTCTACTCCTCCAAAACTATAGTCACATTTAAAAATTATTATTTTTTTATACGTTTAGTTTTGAGACAGGATATCATGCACATCAGGCTACCCTTGTATTTGTTATTCAGCTGAAGCTGGTCTCAAACTCCTGACCATCCTGCCTCTGCCTTCCAAGTATCGGGAGCATAGGTATACAGCACCACCCTGACTTGCTTTCTTTCTTAGTTTTTGTGACTGTTTGCATGTCCCAATTACTTCAATATGGTGATATTTCATTTGTGCTGAAATGTGATTTTATTTGTATATTAATAAAGTTGCCTGGGGGTCAGAGCTAACAGCAAGCCATAGCAGAAGCTGGGCGGTGGTGGCACACACCCTTAATCCAATCACATGGCAGGCAGAGTCTGTGTGTTCAAAGACATAGCCAGCTTGGAGACACACGCCTTTAATCTCAATAATAACCATAGAGACCTGGAGGTATAGACAGGCAGTGACGAGGAGGTCATGTGGTTGGGTTTACAACCAATGAGAAGGCAGAACAGAAAGTCAATAAAAAGACAGACACACAGGAAGTAGGTCTTTTTCTCAGGGGAAGGACGGTAGCGGCAGCCTGTGATAAGAAGGCAGTTTTAGTCTCAGCTCTTAGTTACTGCTCTGACCTCTTGAGCTTTTAACTCTGCATTTGGCTCTGTGTTTCTTATTTAATAAGACCATTACATCTACACTTCAAGTCACCAAAAGAACTAGTAATTGATGCCATGACGATGGTACCTTTTATTTATGTATTTTTTTAAATGTGCATTGGTGTTTTGCCTGCATGCATGTCTGTGTGAGGGTATGGGATCCCCAGGAACTGGAGTTACAGACAGTTGTGTGCTGTCACATGGGTGCTGGGAAATTGAACCCGGGTCCTCTGGAAGAGCAGCCAGTGCTCTTAACTGCTGAGCCATCTCTCCAGCCCCATGACGATGGTACTTAATAAATTTAAAGGAAAACAAATGTCCAAGTGCTCTGCCCACAGCACAAACAGGAGAGGTTTACTTTCAATCACTATACCGGCAATCCCACCAGAGGGAAAGAGTAGGCAGCGTTACTTACGAGTATCGGTATCGCTGAATTCCAGACTTTTCTCGGCGGCGGGGCTGGAGGAGTCAGGCTGCCCACAGCTCTGTTCTGGCCTCGGCACAGGCATTGCGGGTGTGCTGTCCTTTTCACAGCAAGGCCCCTGTGTCTGTGCCACTGTTGCTGCTTCTCTAGGAGGTACACAGCTGACAGTTTGGGGAACAGCGTCTGCCGAACAAGAAGACAAAATTAGTCTCCGTGTAAGAGAAAGGTCTTTGTGAAAAATCAGTGGGGTGCTTACAATGAAAATGACCCCCCTAGGATCATAAGGAGTGGAACGATTAGGAGGTGTAGCATTGTTGGAGAAAGCGTGTCACTGGGAGGGGGTCTCCGATGCTCAAACCAGGCCCAGTGTCTGTCTGTCTGTCTCTCTCTTCCTGTTGCCTGACGATTGGGATGTAGGACTCTCAGCTACCTCTCCAGCACCATGTCTGCCTGTACATTGCCATGCTTCCCACCATGATGATAACGGACTAAACCTCTGAACTGTAAGCCCCAGTAAAATGTTAAATGTTTTTCTCTATAAGAGTTGCCGTACTCATGGTGTCTCTTCACAGCAACAGAAACCAAGACAACCAGGAGCTCACATGCAGCTTCTAGATGTTGGCCCTACATCCTCACTGAACACAGGAAGACACCTGGTAAGATGTTGTCCGTTGTGATAAAAATGAATAGACCGAGTGATAGTGTTTACGAAAGTGGTTCAGAACCATTAGGAAATTAGGAAACACTGTAGTTATTTAAGAATAGAGAACCAGCTGGCACGGTGGTACCCACCTGCAATCCCAGCACTTTGAAGGTGGAGGCAGGAGGATCAAGTTCAACCCTGGTCTTGACTACATAGTAAATTCAAGGTCAGTCTGGGCTATATGAGATTCTATCTCAAAAACAAACAACTGAACACACACACACACACACACACACACACACACACACACACACACACACACACACACGGAGTCTGTGTGGGGGAACAGGACCAAAAACATTTTAGACACTGAACTCAGTGTTATGAGTCCTATTAAGAAGGTGTGGTGCTGGGCGGTGGTGGCACACACTTTAATCCCAGCACCCAGGAGGAAGAGGCAGGCAGATCTTTATTGAGTTCGAGGCAAGTCTGCTCTACAGAGTGAGTTCCAGGACAGCCAGGACTACATAGAAAAACCCTTGACACACCAAAACCAAAACCAAACAAACACCCCAAAAGAAGGCGTGGCATGGAGTCCAGGAATCTACGTGTTCAACAAGGTCTTTCTGAGATTCTTTACACAGTAAAGGTTGAGACCCCTAGTGTATCAAAGGGAGAAGGGGAGTGGGGTAATGAGGAGACAGAATAGTAACACAGGGGATAAGGAAGCCATGATGGGAATCCTGTCAAGGTGAAGCCAAATGGGGGTCTAGAGAGAGACATGGCTCAAGAGAATAAATTCGTACAGGATACATTCTTCATCCCTCTAAATAAACCCTCCTGGCACAAAACTACCTGACTCTGACGGGGCTAAACTCCATCCCCAAGCTTCTAGCAATTTAGCAGCACAGTCCAGAGCACCGGGCATCTAGAGTGGTTGAAAGCTGGGGAGAGCTGAAAGAATGCAGGGGACTCAAATGTCAGGTTCGTTCATTCCACAGGAGAGTAAAAAGAAAAATAAACACTTGTATTCCTGCCACGCGTCCACTTCAGCCAGCTGCTGACGCTTTGGCCACACCCACTTTACCCGGCAGCAGCAGAGTAGCGGGGGCAAAGAGTTCAATCTGGACCAGAAGATCCACAAGGTCCCCGACTGTGCAGTTGGTGGTACCCCAATCAAACAGCAGCTCACAAGTGGGGCTTTTTCCAGTTTGGAGTAAGGCCTCGAATCTCCTGAAAAGCAAGAAACAAACCAGTACACAAGGAGAGTCCGTATGAAAATAGGCACTGATCTCCACACCGCTCCCGATCCCCTTCTGTCCAGATCTCTGGACCTGAGGACAGAAAAGCAATGGGGGTGTGAGGGAACCTGTAAGGACCCTAACTAGGAGAAAGACACTCAGCAGAAAAGGGGCCACTGGCGCTGGAGAGATGCTCCGTGGTTGAGAACACTGGCTGCCCTTCCAGAGGACCAGGGTTTGGTTCCCAGCATCCTCAGGGCAGCTCACAACCACCTGGATTTCCAGTTCTAGCGGTTCCAAAACCATCTTCTGCCCTCTACTGGCATGGGCATGCATGTGGTGAAAATACGTACATGCAGGCAAAGCATGCACACACATAGAATAAAATAAACAACTCTTTAAAAAAAATGTAAGCTGACTTTTGGGGCAGAGGAGACAGCTCAGTTGGGAAGTGCTCGCTGTTGCTAGTATAAAGTCTGATGACCCCGAGATCAGATTCCCCAGCATCCAGGCAAAAAGCCAGTGCAGGGCACCTACTCTAATACTGGGCTGGACAGGCAGGGATGGGTGGATCCCTGATGCCCACTGTTTACTTAGTCTAGATGAATCTATAAACTCCAGGTTCTGTGAGATACCCTGGCTCAAAAAACAAGATGGAGCGAGAGTGAGCAAGGCACCTCATGTTGACCTCTGGCCTCCACAAGACGCTCACTTAACACACACACACACACACACACACACACACACACACACACTGCTCAAACCTACCCAGTTAATATTATTTATCAAATATTCCCTGAACGTTTATCAGAGAGCTACAGGACATCTCTAGAGAGACAGTTGAGAATGTTAGCATGAGACTGCTAGACCGGGTTGGGCGGAGTAGCCAGCTGTGACCACACAGCACACTCAAAATGTACCCAAGTTTAGATCCAAATTCTGAGCTCTTCTGACCAAAGCACATACTTTTAAACCACTTGGCTATATTGCAAGGTCTACCTTACATGACAAATTCAGTCTTCTAGCTGTATACTTTTAAATGAATAAGACTGCTTCATGAAGCAGAATGCACCTAGGCTGTGATCTTAGTTATATTTAATTAAATAGAAAGGAAAACATCTTTTTCTTCATTTCATTTCTTTAAAATTAAAAATTAGCTTTAGAAAGTAATACTGAAAACTTAACCAAAACAGTCCATTCTGTTTTTCTTCCAAAGGTTTCATTCAGAAACATTTCAAACTTAACAAAAACTTTGAAAGAATAACATAGTGAACAACAACTTAACTTCCATCTAGATTTATCAGTTGGCCAACTGGCAGCATCTGCCCACATCTGTGCTCTTCTGAATGCTCTTTCCTGCTGTGGGATAATGCTTTTGTACACTGGTTTAATAAAATGCTGATTGGCCAGTAGTCAGGTAGGAAGTATAGGTGGGGTGAGCAGACTAAAGGAATGCTGGGAAGAGGAAGAACAGAGTCAGGATTCACCAGCCAGACACAGAGGAAGCAAGATGACAAGGCAGAACTGAGAAAAGGTACCAAGGCACGTGGCTAAACATAGATAAGAATTATGGGTTAATTTAAGTGTAAGAGCTAGTCAGTAATAAGCCTGAGCTAATGGCCGAGCAGTTATAAATAATAATAAGCCTCTGTGTGATTATTTTATAAAAGGCTGTATGCTGTGGGATGGTCTGTATGTAAAATGTGTTGCTGATTGGTCAATAAATAAATCACTGATTGGCCCGTGACCAGGCAGGAAGTATAGGCGGGACAAGGAGGAGAATAGAGCTGGGAAGTGGAAGGCTGAGTGGGGGAGACGCTGCCAGCTGCCATGATGAGAAACAGCATGTAAAGATGCCGGTAAGCCACGAGCCATGTGGCAAGGTATAGATTTATAAAAATGGATTAATTTAAGCTGTAAGAACAGTTAGCAAGAAGCCTGCCACGGCCATACAGTTTGTAAGCAATATAAGTCTCTGTGTTTACTTGGTCGGGTCTCAGAGGCTGTGGGACTATGGGTGACAAAGATTTGTCCTGACTGTGGGCCAGGCAGGAAAACTCAAGCTACAAATGGTGCCCAATGTGTTGGCAAGAGTTTCCACCTAAAAACTGAGTAAAAAGATTCTAAAACGGAGCTAAAAACAGTTCCTAGTTGTCTCTTTCAAGTTAGCGGCAGCCTGCCGGTTTGAGCTACTGGCGGGTTCCTAGCGTGCATGCATGCTCGACCTGCAGTATGGTGGGAATGAGGCCTCTGCAAGTGGCACATTAAGCTGTGTGGTGGATTTAGCCTTTGCCAGTACAAAACAAAAAAAAAAAAAAAAAAAAAGAGGTTTCTGGGCTACACGCTACTTTGATAGAAGCATAGACCCACTATTTCTGAGAGTTGATGGCTCCCAGAGCTGGCGGAAAACATATCACCGCCATGTTGGGAAGCTGAAGTGGGCGGAGCCAGCAGCGCCAGCGCCGTTTCAGACTTAGAAGGCTGCAGTTTAAAGCAATGGGCTCAAGCTAATATAAAAAAATAAGCCACGTAAAGATGGCTACCACACAGAGAATCTGGATTATGTTCTCTTTGATATTCGTAACTGAAGAAAAACATTTGATTGTAAAAGCTGTTGAGTTATGCCAAAATGTATATTTTAAAGGTACCTTGACTTCAAAATTTGGATGTAAGGATATGTTGCTTTGGAAAGGAGGCTCTGCTTTTGTTTCCACAGAAAGCCAGAGGCTATGGATTTGTTCCAGATTAAGATACATCAGGTTTGACCAGCCAAGACCACCTGAAAGGTTTCCGATGACACCAAGGCCCAAATGATCCAACATCCAGAATGGTTTCAAGGCAACTGGCTCAGACGATACAGCCTCATGGACTACTCCATGATCCTAAAATTTTCTTTGTTTCCCCAGAAGATACAGCAGCCCCCTCCAGCAGGAAGTAGTAAGAGAAGCTACACCCAAATTCCCAAATATACCAAGCTGACTTTGGAGATGTGTAAAGGTTAAAACCTTCCTTTTTAAGAAAAGAAAAGGGGAAGTGCTGTGGGATGGTCTGTATGTAAAATGTGTTGCTGATTGGTCAATAAATAAATCACTGATTGGCCCGTGACCAGGCAGGAAGTATAGGCGGGACAAGGAGGAGAATAGAGCTGGGAAGTGGAAGGCTGAGTCAGAGAGACACTGCCAGCCGCCACGATGACAAACAGCATGTGAAGATGCCAGTAAGCCACGAGCCATGTGGCAAGGTATAGATTTATAAAAATGGATTAATTTAAGCTGTAAGAACAGTTAGCAAGAAGCCTGCCACGGCCATACAGTTTGTAAGCAATATAAGTCTCTGTGTTTACTTGGTCGGGTCTCAGAGGCTGTGGGACTATGGGTGACAAAGATTTGTCCTGACTGTGGGCCAGGCAGGAAAACTCAAGCTACAGCTGTGGGGCTGTGGGTGAGAGATTTGTCCCGACTGTGGGCCAGGCGGGATACAGGAAATCTTCTGGCTACATTTTCCACCTCTCTCTCTATGTGTGGCATGCCTACAGTGTAGGGCAGGTATCTTGTCTGTGGCTCACTGTCTCCATTTACAGGACTACTTTTTAATGAGTAATGTCATTCATGATTAACAGTTTTGGTAAGAACCACACAGGAGGTGATGTGTTCTTCCTGCTACATCATTCCCAGAGGCACAAAATGCAGTTTTGTGCCATGACTGAGGGCACTGTCTGATCATTTGGATAGGGGGATGTGGCTTCAGATTTCCTCACGACACTTGTACCTCTCTCTTGCTGGTGCATACCTGTCATCCTGGCACTTAGCAGGTAGAGACAACAGGATCAGGAGTCCAAGGCTAGCCTTACAAGTTTGAGGCCAGCCTTGGCTACACAAGACCCGGTCACTAGCAAACGTTGGTTTTCTCTCTCTTTTTTTTTTTTTTTTTGGTTTTTCGAGACAGGGTTTCTCTGTGTAGCTTTGCGCCTTTCCTGGAACTCACTTGGTAGCCCAGGCTGGCCTCGAACTCACAGAGATCCGCCTGCCTCTGCCTCCCAAGTGCTGGGATTAAAGGCATGCGCCACCACCGCCCGGCCAGTTTTCTCTTTCTTAATGCATAGAAAATTTGTGGACAAAACTTGTATGCTTTTGGGTCCCGATGAGTCTCGTGGGAACCAGTCTTCACTGGCGGCTGCACATTGCTAACATCATAAATTTTTTTATTCTGACAGCTGGTGGCACTGTTCGGTAGGGAAGAGCCCCTTCTCTCTGGAATGACTGCTGCAGTAACCCCCCCTCCCATTTTTAATGGAAATATCAACAAACTATCCTTAGGAATTTGGTTTCCAAGTTTGAAAGCTGAGCTTCTCCCTCATACTTTATGATGCTGGCCTTCACGTGAGCAGACATTTGCAGGAAGAATAATTTGGGAGCCTAGCTTTAGAATCTTTACCAGATTGATTAAAAACAAACAAAACAACAACAACAAAAAAAAACCCAGTAATATATTTTCTTCCTTCTATGTAAGACCAATTTTGACATTAAGTTTTTTTTTTTTTTTTTTTTTTGGTTTTTCGAGACAGGGTTTCTCTGTGTAGCTTTGCGCCTTTCCTGGAACTCGCTTTGGAGACCAGGCTGGCCTCGAACTCACAGAGATCCGCCTGGCTCTGCCTCCCGAGTGCTGGGATTAAAGGCGTGCGCCACCACCGCCCGGCGACACTAAGTTTTTAACTTCAAAATACAGCACAAAATTGAAACCTGAACTTGTATTTTCTACTAAATCAAGCAGAGATGAGAAGAGAGAGGCAATTATATTAGACAGTGTGTATGCCTGTATCCTTCCTGTGATGGGAAGGATTTAAAAAGAAAAATAAACGTCATACTACCTTATATGAAATTGATTGTATCTATCATCGCCAGATGGCTTTTTAATAGCCACTGCTAATTTCTTCCATCCTTCCTGAGGATCGATAAAATCCGACAGCTTCCGAATGATTCCGACATTGAGGCTGTGAACGTACGTGGATGGTGTCAGAGGCTTGTTCATCTTCTACCTGAAATATGAAAAATTCTCATTAGAACTTTACAGCAGGTCAGCTGGACGGTGGTGTCTCACACCTTTAATCCCAGCATTTGGGAGGCAGAGGCAGGCAGATCTCTGAGTTCAAGGCCAGCCTGGTCTATAGAGCGAGTTCCAGGACAGCCAGGGATATACAGAGAAACCCTGTCATGAAAAACAAACAAACAAAAACCAAACAAACAAATTGGACAAACCCCACAACTTTACAACAGTTTCAGAGACAGCTTCTAGAAGCTGTATGCCATGCATTGCTATCCTGCATGAGATGCTGGCAAGTGACCGTCTGAACACAGAGCAACTCTTACTGCAACCCACTTCCTACTGAAAAGTGTTTGTCTAATCACCCTCTAGGATTATTCTCCCCCCTCCCCAAACCAACATTGGAAAACTTCATTCTGACACTGGAATTTTCCAGGTGAAATTTATAAAAAGCAAGATGTTTACTAGAAAGAGACCTGGGAGCATGTTCAGGATTCAAATCTATAAAATGAATAGAAGAGACTTAGCTCTGAATTTAAAGTATTTTTTTCAGTTAGTACCTACTTACTATTGAATTTTTAAAAAAGATTTATTTATTGTTGTCTGTGTATGGGTATTTTGCCTGCATGTATGCATGTGCCCCATGTCCTGTCTGGTGCCTGCGGAGGTCAGAAGAGGGCACCAGAAGAGGGCACTGGATCTGGGGTTATTGATGACTGTGAGCCACCATGTGGGTGCTGAGAACCGAACCTGGGTCCTCTGCAAAAGCAGCAAGGGCTCTTAACAACTGAGCCATCACTATTAAAATACTGAGCATCTACTGTTATAAGTTTTTATGCAACTATCTTTGGTAAATGTTAAAAAAAAGCAAACTAATTTATATAGCATTAAAGGCATATCCCATCCACCTATTTTTCACGAAGTATACAAGAACCTCGAACAGTTTGGAGCCTGTGAGATCTGCATGACTTCTATTTTCTGTATGGTGGAATCCATGGCCCCTCTCTGTGGCTACTCTCTTGATAGGGCCTTTATTTGATCGATCCTTGTTTCCCAGTGGTCCACCTCAGAGGCTGCAGCTAAGAGATACCTCACAGTGTTACTTGTCCATGGAGCTGCTGAGCACAGCCCTAGATTACTGAACTGACTGATCATGTACCTTTCCATTGGGCCCCTCCAGCACTTACTTAACCTTTTACTTTTCTCTCCTTGTCTTTCATGGCCATTTCCTACTTTTACCTCTCTCTGTGGTTTCTCTGTCCCTCATTCTCAACAAACAAAAATCCTTCCTTCCAATTAATCAAGAGAAATATTATTCTTTCAAGGATTTGCTTCCGTATGTTTTCATTTTTAAATACAATTAACCTTGGGAGTAAATAATATATTCAAATGGTGTAAAATATAAAAGCTATAAAACAGTAAAAGGTACATTTGTCTGATTGTAAGCTTCTATGCTAGTATTCATATCTCTCTGTATGGTAGGGTTTGGGTTTGAAATATCTCCCCAAAGCTCTTGTTTTGAAGGCTTTGTCCCTAATATAGTAGTGTTCTGTGTTGGGAAGGGCGTGCATTTGGTAGGTGTTTGGATTATGAAGGCTCTATTATCAATCAATGTATTCATCCACTGGTGGATTCATAGCTTTAATGGGATATTGGGAACTGGTGGTAACTTTACGAGGTGGGACCTACCTAAATGAAAAGGTGGAATGTGTCCCCTGATGAGCATGGACCCTATTCCCCTTCCTATCTCTTTTCTTCCCTCCCTCCTTCTCTCTGCCCCTCCCCACACCGTGCTCTCTGCCATGATGTTCGCCCTCACCACAGACCTAGAAACAACTGATCACTTAACCTTACTAAACAATTGCTTACCTTAACCTTGATCTGAAACATTTTCCTCTTTAACTGTGCCTCTTAATGTTCCCACAAGGTTGCACAGTTATTACTTCCCAACTTATGTTTCTGATCTTTCCGATCTGTTGTGTTATTGCAGCTCCTTGGATGGATCCTCCTCTGAGGCACCCTAACTGTGGTCCCTTCTACATCACCCATTTTTGTCAGCTCGAAGCAGTTGGAATCAGTGCTCAAAAACCCCCAAAACCAGTTTGGGTTACCTCCAAAAGGGGAACTAATGGGCCATCCAACTTATCCCTCTTTCTGCCACAATAGATACTGTTTCCAGGACTTGGAACTAAAACAGGTGGACTGCTGTGGAATAATCCTTTTGAACACTCTGAAAATGTGTTGCTCTCATTGTAAATAAAAAGCTGAAAGGCTGATGGCTAGGCAGGATTTTGGGGGCAGAGAGAATGCTGGGGAGAAGAAGGGTAGATTTGGAGGAGACGCCATGAGATGCAGAGCAAGCAGGATGGGAAGTACGCAGATGAGGTAAATGAGCCTCGGGGCAGCACATAGATTAATACAAATGGGTTACTTTAAGTTGCAAGAACTAGCTAAAAACAAGCCTGAGCTATTGGCCAAACATTTATAATTACCATTAAGCCTCTGTGTGGTTATTTGGGAGCAGCTGGCAGGACTGGATTATAGCCCTCTTTGCATCAATTAACCTCTCTGTCCCACCAGATGTCAGAAAAACTTCAAGAAATTTCAGATCAGCTTAACATCCTTCAGGACCAGATCTATTCCTTGGCTACTGCAGTACTCCCAAATTTAAAAAGACCAGATCTGACTGCTAAGGATGGGATGTGTTTGTGACTTCCCCTACGAGCAACGCTGTTAGGCACAAACAAATCCTAACTGGTTTGAGATGGGGCCCAAAGACACTGGATCCAGACAAAAAACCAACTACAAGTCTCCTCCTATGTAGAGGCTTTTGGTTCCCTTCCACTCTGGCTCCTCTTCTCCATCACTCCTTTCCTCCGTATTATCCTCATACTCACATTTTTGTCCTGTTTTTTTTTTTTTAAATGTTTTACTTACTGAACATCACCATGTACCCAAACGAAAATGTTCCACATAAGCTCTCCCAATGACTCTCACCCTACAATAGCTCCATTTGTCCCAGATACATCTGCAAAAAGACCTTTTAGATGCCATGGGCAACATCCATGTTTCTTATACACTGATTTACTTCAGTGGCAACTTAAAATGCTTTGGATATACTGAAATATATACTGTCACCCATTCACCAAAAAGGTGTCCTATTTGTGACTGATATTAATCCAGATGCCTGGAAATAAACCATTAAGAAAATTAGAGAGAAAAGGAGACAAGAACACACAGGAGTTTTATTCTAATGGAGGAAGAAGGCAGCAAGCGAAGAATGCATTTCACAGTATGTTAAATGGTGTCTATGGTGGGTTGAATGAGAAGGCCCCCATGAGTTTCCCTCATTTGAATACTTGGTTCCCAAGTGATGGCTGTTTGGGAGGATGAGGAAGTGTGACTGGAGGCAGGCTTTGAGTTTTCAAGTCTCGGGCCATTTCCAGTGTGCTCTCTCTGCTTCCTGCTTGTGGTTCAAGATGTGAGCTCTGAGCTTCTGCTCCATCTCATCCTGTCTGTCTGCCTGCAGGCTGCCTTTCCCACTCTCCCACTGTGCTTGGGGTCAGCTCCATCCCTCTAAGCTGAGCTCAGCCTTGCCTTGGTCATGGTGTTTTGTCAAGTAAATAAGGCAGTGCCTGATGGAGAGACAAGGGGCTGTGACTTTAAAAGGGTTAGTCACCAAGGGCCTCGTGAGATCGGGATGGAAGACAGGGATGGGAACACTAATTAGCTGGGTGCCTGTTGGGAATGTTTCTGGGGAATATGAGCAGAAGGCACAGACATTGGAGGCGCTTCTGAATGAAGAAATAACAGGGAGGACATGACTGCTCCCAAGGGGTTGAGGAGAAAGGTTTATTACAGATATAAGGGAGAGCATAGCCAGAGGCAGAGACAGAGACATCTGGGAGAGTCCAGAGTGAACACGGCCAAACTCAGCCTGGCCATGTGAGGAGGGGGAGGGAGAGCAAGAGAGGAGCTGCCTATCAAAAGTGGCAGTCTGGGCTAGGAGACTGGCATAGCCCAAATGGCTGAGTTACATAGGGGCCAGAGAAGCTGGGGGGCAGGAAGCGACATGGCTGGGTTGGTATCCAGTACCCACAGTTCAGGGTAAGTGGACAGGGTATGCCAGGTATGGGAGGACCCTGTAAGAGCTAGGGACTGAAGGATGCTGGGAGAACCTGGTGGACAGCATCCGCTTTGATATGTTCTAGACATCTCAGTTAGCTTTTTTTGTTCTGGGTGTGAGACTTAACAGCTTCCACAGACATACAGCAAGAAGCAGGTGGGTTTATAGATGAGGGATTAGACTCCAGGGCTTTGAATTGACTTGATTATCTTCTGAATTGAGAGAAGAGACAGTCAGTGGAAGTTCCCAGAGGAGTGCAGATATTTCTATATTCATGCCAAAAGCGTAGGTTCCCTGGACAATTTGGTGTGCAGAGCAAGGGCAAAGAAACAGGAAGAGGCGACTGGAGGAGAACACCAAAAATTTACGTGGAAGGTTCGAAAGGGCGCTAGTGTCCCGGTGCTAGATGTATTCTGCAGGGCAATCCACAGAAGTCTGCCGATGTAGAAAGGGAGAAGACAGCACCAGGGTTTTCTGCTTGGGCCAGAAACAAGACTGAGACAAGACTGTAAGGTGCAAGTTTAGCCTGGGAAATCAGATCAGTCCGGAACATGTAGGTAGCAAAAATGTTTAGCATGAAAATAGAATAAAAGAAACCTGAGGTCTTTGACGCATATCTTGAAGGATTACTTTCAGGCACGGAAAAGTCGGATTTTTAAAAATCTTCTGTTGGGGGGGCACTGTGTCCATTCCGAAAGTGACTGGAGCTTTCTCGCTCTCTTGGGCTTTGCTTTTTCTGCTCATCTCCGGCTTCCGAGCTGTGCTGCGCTTACTTACCCCTCCCTCCACCTGTGGACGGACTGCCTGACAGCTTCCTACACTCCCCACCTCCAGCAAGCGAGACGTCGGGGGACCATCAGCGCAGAGGCTACCTGCGGGGCTCCCCACGCCTCTGCGGGGGGGGGGGTGCACCCACTTCCCGGTTCTGGGGTGAAGCGAGCCGGTCGCAAACCGGGCCCAGGAGAGAGGACTGCAGCGAGGTCCTGGCCTGAGATCAGCCTTATTCGCGCGCGCGCCCGCTCGCACAACCTACTTCCTCTCTGACGTTCCTCGCTTCCTGAACCAGGCGGCCGGCGCCCCGCCGCGGTCCCGCGAGGACTCGGCAGGGGAGGACGCGCGGGGCCACGAGGCGACTTCAGACCGTCTTGCGACCAGGTGATGCGGCTTCCCAGAGCACCAGGTCGGTGCGGGACAGCAGCTCCGGCGGTCCTGGGAGGCTGGGAGCGGAGGGGCGGGGCCAACCCGGAAGGCCACGCCCTCCTTGCCCCCCGCCCCGCCCCCTATTCCTCTAGCTGGCTCAGGAACTCCGCAAGTGGGAGCCTGTCCCTTTAAATGTCCCTGTAGGAGACTGGGCAGGCGGAGACTTCCGGGAATGCGCAGTGTGTCACCCGGGAGGACTGCTTTCTTTCTCTCGGAAGCGAGGTAGAACCGGCCGAGTCTAGTGGGAGGCTGGGTTGCGCGTGGGTTTGAGAGTGGCGGACGTGGGCGATCCGAAGCCCGTGACCCCGACAAGGGCGACACGGACGGGGGTGGCGCGGGGCCCGGAGGGAGGAGGAAGGCGTGGCGGGCGCCGCGGGAGCTGGGTGCAGGGTGAGGATCTCAAGGGAGCCTCCCGCCCTTCTGCCGGGCTGGGTCCCTCCGCAGCCTGGGCTCGCCCCGGGGAACAGCCTCGGCTCGCCCCGGGGAACAGCCTCGGCTCGCCCCGGGGAACAGCCTCGGCTCGCCCCGAGGAACAGCCTGGGTTCGCCCTGCCAGCCTAGCCCACGCGCCGCGGTCCTCCCGCCTTTGCATCCCACCGCTTTACTAGCGGCTTGGCTGGAGTGTCTTCGTCGCCGCGCCGTCCCCACGTCTAGCCCAGAAAGCCTTCCTTTGGTCTTTCCTTTCCTAGAATCCCTAGGGTTCCCGAGGGCTGTGGACTTGGTCACCGCTGACTGCTGAGTTCCATCAGTCATTTTAGAAACACCTCCACAAGGCAGATTCCAGCCTTTGACAGGACGTTCTGTATCATTACTTCAGTTGCATTCTCCAAAATGACCACCCTACTTCCTCTCCACACTGCCCTTTTGTCCGGGCTTTCGCCCTCCTACATATTGCCCGTTTCGTTGGTACTTGCTTGTGGTATTTCTGCCCCATTTCTGTCTCTTGAACTATTTTCAAAGACTTAAATAGCAATTTATTATACCATTCCCGATGATCACAAACAAAAGTTAAAACCCTTCCTTCCTCCTCATCACGAGCTTTGACTGTGTTCTAGTTGTTTTTGTCCAACAACCAATATTGATTGAAGACCTGCTACGGTCACCTACAATGTGCTTGGTGGTGTTCTAAATGTGGGCTAATCAGTTTTGAATAAGGTAGAATTCCTGCTCATGTGGAATTGACACTAAGTTGAAGAAGATGGACAGAAAATAATAAAAACATTTGCTATACAGAAAATTAATTTTTTTTGAAAGAAAATGGCTTGCAGGTTCCCATAGATGAGATTATTGGTCCGTGAAAACCTCTAAGAATGTGAATCCTAAAAGACTGACCAGGAAGTTACCTCAAAGGTAGTGAGGAGAGCCAGAGTAACCATGGTTTAGAGGGTAATGGGATAAAGGCACATCACACTGCAGAATAGACAGGTTGCAGAATCTCAGGGTAGATAGTTTAGACTTCATTGTAAATGTAACAATGGGGTTTTAAACACTTGTACAGTTTACCTTTAATACAGTATTTTGGGTGTTTACCTTTTATTTATTTATTTTGGTTTTTCGACCTTTTAATACAGTATCTTGGGTGTTTACCTTTTAATACAGTATTTTGGGTGTTACACATAGTAGGTAATAGTTGGCTAGACAGAAATAGTCACAAGGCTGCCACCATGCCTGAGAATTTGGGAATTAGCACTGTGGAAGAACGGTAAAATAGGAAATCAGATTTCTAAAGGTGGTAACGTTTTTGGTGATGAGAAAGTAAGAATGACCATAGGAGTAGGTGGCTGAGATGGAGTGGGACCAGAGGAGGAGATTGAGGGACTGTGGGATCGAGCTGGAAACATGGTCCACATGGGTGACCGACAAGAGGTTCTGCCCAAGAGGATGGAAGCCAGAAGTCTCAGTGTAGGAAGAGTTATCAGAGAGGGTGTGGAAAGATAGTAGAGCCCGGGACAAGGTCTGCAGAGGAACTGAGGTACAAGGGAAAAGAACCGCTTTGGAAAGATCAGTGGCAGCCAACAGGTAGTGTTTCTAATCTCCAGATTCTAAGACACACGGATTGAAAGAAAAGAATGTCCCCCTCTCCCCCAAGAAGATGACGGAGAAAGGGAAATCCGTAGGATTCAATTAGCAGGGGGAATGCAGGGGATTGCAGGGACTTTAAAAGTGAAGGAAAATAAATGTGAAAATTTGATACAGAGAATTGGATGTGATTTGGACATGGCCCAGTGGAAAGGACCGAGAAGGGCAGAGGTTTAGATCACGATGACAAAGAACTTGTAAAGTATGGCAAGTACAAGAGCCGAGTGGTGAAGCCGCTTTCCCACAGCTCCATGTGAGATGGTGGTAGCAGTATGGTGACTGTGGGGTTCTTTGTAGAATTGCTCTGGTGTCACCTCTCCGAGAACACTCCATCTGGGTTTCTTTTCTCTGACGCCAGTGATTGGGTAGAAACTTCCTCTCATCAGCTTGAGAATTTTGTATCTTTCCTACAGGGAATTTAGAGAAAGCTGAAGGACAAGGACCGACTTAAATACACCTACCTCTAAGTTTATGGAGAACTTCTCTCGTCTATTTACAGTAGACCTTTCTGTCTTATTCTTCCCCATGATCTAACTTCCAGTGTATAAAAATACCACCACAGTGGCTCTGGAATTAGCTCCAGGGGATCTTGAGGCTCTTGGGGTGACAATTATTGTAAAAACTCCTTCTCTCTTTGGTGTGGGCTTAAAGCCACCACTTTTCAAATGAACTTGAAATTGACCCATTTGTCGTTTTTTTTTTTTTTTTAAAAAAACATTTTTAATAGGTTTATTTTGTTATATGTGTTTTGTATATAGGTATGCATGTTCACCATTGGTGTGCCTGGTGTGGCGTAGAGGTCAGAAAAGGGCAACAGTTCCCCTAGAACTGGAGTTACAGATGGTTGTGAGCTGCCATGTGGGTGCTGGGAACTGAACTGGAGTCCTCTGCAAGAGCAAGTATGATTGACTGCTGAGCCATTTCTCCAGCTCAGCATCGACCCATTTTAATTCTGGATAATAGAAGCATAGATTGACAGGGAAATCAAGATACAAGTCACTACTTAGGCCGCAGATAGTTGGACTGGTAACCCTTCTTGCTCTATGAAAGTAGGATCCACACATAGATCCATAAAATAAGTTATTAATGTTTTTTTAGGGGACATAGAATTAGGAGGAAGACAACTAAGTGGGGTCTTGCAAATCTGTTTCATTCTCCTCTGTAAATGCTTCTGGTAGCTGACTGTTTTGTCTCTTTTGTAGGCACTGTTGAGAATGGAAGAGGAGGACGCGGATGGTGGAATCGGGTTTAGTTCCTTATGTTTCGTTAATGATCATGTTGGATTTCAGGGCACTATAAAAACCTCCCCAAGTGACTTCATCGTTACTGAGATCGACGAACAGGGGCAGTTAGTCAGCAAGGCCATTGATGAATCCGTTTATGAAATTAGTGAAGCACAATCTGAGCCAAGTCATTCTGTCAAAAAGCCAAAGCTAAATATTCAAGATGTATCCTCAGACCATGAAGGTAATGAAGACGCTGCTAACCTGCCTGGGCATTCCGACGGTGACCAGAGTCATCCATCTGGCTCGGATAAAGACGGTGTCAATGGTGTGACTTCTAAATGTGAGAAAGAGAATGTTGACTTACTAAGTTCACTTTTAAGTGAAAAAACTCATACATTGCTGGAGCAGTTTGCCCGTGACATCAAAGGGATGTGGGATTCAAAAACCGAGTTAACTGAACCCTCTCGGGAATTCTCACTAGGTAGGATCCCTGACAAAAGCCAAAGGACTGTTTTACACAGTGCTGTCAGGCAGACGTTTCCTTTTTTAATAACCGTAGGGAAAAACAGTGAAGTCTTTGTAAAACCAAACCCCGAGTATAAAGAGCTCTGCCATTTGGTGTCCGAAGAAGAAGCGCTTGGTTTTTTCAAATATTTGGATGCAAAGAAAGAAGATTCCAAGTTTACCTTTAAACCAGATACAAACAAAGGTCACAGGAAGGCCGTGCACCATTTCCTCAACAAGAAGTTTGGAACCCTTGTGGAAACCAAATCTTTCCCCGAGCAGAACCCCCGTGCTGGGAATCCAAGCACAGCCATAACCGTGAGGTTCCGGGAAAAGGCTTGGACACACGGAAAGAGAGCTCGTCTTGAGTGTGAGGGAAGAAAAGCTGTATATACAGGTAATTTTGTAAATCCTCGTTTACTTGTGTAAAATTTGTGAAAGATAAGTAATTTGAATAAATAGGCCTGGTCACAGAGCTGTTGTAAAGAATAGATGGACTGTTTATTTGGAGAAAGACGAAAGCTTGCAAATTATGCTAAATGTGAAAATTAACTAAGTATGGATAATAAAGACATTTACAGCTAACAGTCACAAATGTATAAAGTTGAAGCAATTGTTTTGTATTTGATTGGTTTTGAGAGTATTAGTTTTTCTGTTTTCAGAATAGTCTCACCTACGGTTAAATGTTTGGAGATAAGGTGGATATATTGTCATCCTTGGGAAGGGAAAGGAATGCTCTGTCATGTAAGGTGGGGGCCTGCACACGTGGTTCATCAGGCTTCCCGTGGATGCTCAGGCTTTAATCAGCATTGTAATCACTCAGCAGTGCTGTAAAAATGGTTTTTGTTTACTTTTACATACCAACCACAATTCCCCCTCCCTCTCTGCTCCCATTCCTCCTCTCCCTCTCCCCTTCCAGCCCCCCCTCCCCACTACTCCCCGTCCACTCCTCATAGAGGGTAAGGCCTCCCTTGGGGAATCAACACAGGCTGGCATACCAAGTTGGGGCAGGACCAGTCCCCTCCTCCCTGCATCAAGGCTGAGCAACGTATCCATCCTGCTGTAGGGAATGTGCTCCAAAAAGCCAGTTCATGTACCCGGGATAAGTCCTGTTCCCACTGCCAGGGGCTCCACAAACAGATCAAGCCACACACAACCGTCACCCACATTCAGAGGGCCTAGTTCAGTCCCATGCAGGTTCCCCAGCTGTCAATCCAGAGTCCATGAGCTCCCACTACCTTGGGTCAGTAATGCGCACCTCTGACAAGCCAACGAATGCTTTTAAACGGCAGCTGAGATCTGTGATGCAAGTTTTAGGGTTTCATTAAAGCACACTTTACTTTAGATTTCTTATCCTAACCTGTTAGTTTGTGAAGAATGTAATTATGGATGACGCCTTCTTTTTTTTTTTTTAATCTAGGATTATTTTGTTTCAGCTTTTACCCTACAAAAGGAAAACCTGGAGATGTTTGAAGCAATTGGTTTTTTAGCCATCAAACTTGGTGTTATTCCTTCAGATTTTAGTTACGCGGGCCTCAAAGACAAGAAAGCAATCACCTATCAATCGATGGTTGTTAAAAAAGTGACTCCAGAGAGGTAACACGCTATTGCTTTCTAGTACATATAGGGTTAAAACTCAAAATAATATCGGAACCAGTTTATCCTTACTATCAGTATTAACTGATTACATACCACACACACATTGTACATTAGTAAAATAATTGTCTTCCATGTATGTGTAAATGTGCCTTGAATATATATGAAGTTTGGGGCTGGTGAGATGGTTCGTGTTAAAAGCACTTCTTGTTCTTCCAGATGACCCAGGTTCGGTTCCCAGCGCCCATGATGGGAAGCTCACTACTGCCTGCCATCTGCCCTAAGGGATCCCTGTCCTCTTCGGGCCTCTCCTGGCCCCCTTGCACAAGGCATACCTTCACACAAACACACATAAATCAAAGAAAAAAAAAAAACCTTACAGAAAATAGGAAATTTTGGGATGGAAACTGACAAGTATTTTTCAAATTGTTTACAATTCGGACAACAATTCGGACAAATATGCACTTGCATTCAGAAAAGTGTAACTGGAGACATACAACATTTATAAATCTTTCTTCTTAATTGTTATAGTGCTTTTATCATAAGCCCTTACGTTTAAAATACATTCTTATTAAATAGAATGCATAGCACTCAAATTTTACCTCTCAGTGCAGTGAAGTTTTAGCAGTGATTTTGCCATTTTAAAAGAAATAATGTATTCATGTTTAGAAAATAGAAAAAAAGGAACAGCTCACGAATGCCTGCACTGCTCAAAAATAACTACAATAAATATTGTTTTCAAGATGTTTTCAGGGTGCACACATCACAGAAATGAAAATCATACTACCTGTGTAACTTAGATATTTATAGTAAAATAATAGAGTTTTTGCTGAGTTTCAAAATTATTTTTATAAACGATCTAGTAGGTCCCTGTTTTTAAAAATGGATTTTGTCCAGTTTCTTTTACTGTAGATGATACTGTGGTTAATGTTCCTGTACTTCAGTCTGCAAGTTCTGGATGCTTCCCTTAACCTTACGCAAGCTGAGTCATGCATCAAAAGTCCTCCTAATTGGATATGCTATTCACATTTTTGTACTTAGTTACAAACTATTTAAGCATGCATTGTTTGCAAGGGGATTCTTTTAAGGCCTGTTTTTGTGGTCTGAATTATAGGAATTCAGATATCACACCATTAAAACAAAGGCTAATTTTTAACAACCAAAGGCAATACATGTTATTTGTTCCTAGGAAGAGAAGAGAGAGAACCTTGATTTTGTCCATGGGTGTGAGATTTCAAGTACCCTTAAGTAACAGGACCTAGTGGAACTAGAAATCAGAGGGACAGCAAGCAGTCTACCAAATAAAATAGGCAATTCTCATAAGGGCTAAAAAAATAGATATAAACATATATATGTGTATATATATATATATATATTTACATGATCCTGGAATATGATTTTTAAAAGTTGGCAGAGAACTGATCGATTGAGTAAGGAAGTGTTCAGGGCAGCCTCTCTGATGCTGGTGGGTTCTGTTTTTCAGTAATATTGGGACAGACCCTGAGGAGGAAAGGGACAAGTTAGGACTGGAGGACCAGGGCCATTAGGAGGCACTGCCACTCAAGCTGAAGAGACACACCTGCTCATGTCGCCAGAGTAACCCTCTTAGTGTAGTCCTATGAGTAACCCTCTTAGTCTAGTCCTATAAGTAACCCTCTTAGTGTAGTCCTATGAGTAACCTTCTTAGTCTAGTCCTATAATGGTGAATATTTAGTGTATATTTACTAACATTAATTTACAGTTTCACTGAAACATTTTACATATTAATGCATATGGGTGTTTTGCCTGCATACATGTCTGTATGTCACTTGGTGCCTGTGGAGGCCAGAAGAGGGTGTTGGAACCCTTTTAACTGGAGTTACAGGTGGTTGTGAACTGCCATGTGGGTGCTGGGAATCAAACTATGACCTCTGACAGAGCAGCCAGTATTCTTAACAGCTGAGCCATCTCTCCAGCCTCCCAGGGTACTTACATTTTGATAGGCATTGCCTGGCAACTATCGTTTTAAAGCTTGTATTAAATATATACTTTTATTTTTAGATTTAGATTTAACTGATTATATGACTTGTCACTTATAGGTTGAAAAATATTGAAAAAGAAATTAAAAAGAAGAGAATGAATGTATTTAATATTCGGTCTGTAGGTGATCCTCTCAGACTTGGTCAGCTCAAAGGAAATCACTTTGAAATTGTCATCAGAAATCTAAACAATCAAGTAAATGATTCTGCAAGCCTGACTGAGAGGATTGTGGAGGCAATAGAAAATGTCAAGGTAAGAAAACACAATTTTGAAGTTGTATTACAGGAAAATTTCTATAATCCTCTCAGGTAAAAAAAGATTATTTTTTGTAACATGTGTGCATAATTATTTAGAAATATATTAATTTCTAAAATGATAACTAAGTGTTGGCTTATTTTGTTTTTTGATATCTTTTATATTAAAACAAAAGAGTGTGTCATGGACTATTGCTTTAACTATGTCAAGATGTGTTAACATTTGTTTGTTACAGAATATTCCTTTAACTATGTAAATGTGTGTCACATTTGTTTATCCTGCATTTGTTTAACTATGTAAAGATGTGTTATATTTGTTTCACCTTGCCTGCCTAAGGCACCTGAGTAGTTTAATAAAAAACTGAATGGCCAACAGCTAGGCAGAAGAGGGACAGGCGGGGCTGGTGGGCAGAGAGAGTAAGTTGGAGGAGGAATCTAGGCTTGGGAGAAGAGAAGAGAAGAGAGAGAGAACAAGGAAGAAAGAGAGGGAGATGTCTGGGGTCAGCCGGCCAGGCAGCCTCCAGCTAGTCAGACACAGAGGAAGCAGGAAAAGTAGGACATACAGGATGGAAGAAAGGTAAAAACCCTGAGGCAAGACGTAGATGAAGAGAAGCAGGTTAGATTAAGTTATATGAGCTAGTGGGACAAGCCTAAGCTAAGGTCGAGCATTCCTAACAATAAGTCTCCATGTCTTGATTGGGGTCTGGGTGGTGGTCCAAGAGAAAGCCTGCTCCAACCGTGTGTGCTGATCCCCAGAAGAGGTTCTCTGAAACAGGCTTTCTCCAGCGTCTTCCTCAGGAGCGCGTGGTAGTTTAGACGGGTTCACGCTGTGGCGTGGCCACTTTGTTCAGTAATTTTCTCCAGAAATCTTGGGTAAATAGTTACCTCACTTTTTAGACTTGTACAGATCCTTTTCCATTCTAACCTAATGTTGGGTTTTCTTTAATACATATGAATTATAAATCATAAACTTTTTATTTTTTTTTACTTAATTTTTTTTTATTCTTTGAAATGAAAACATAATCACATTGTTTTCCCCCTTTCCTTTCCTCCCTCCAACCCTTCTGGTTTTTACCAGGCCCTACTTGCTCTCTCTCAAATTCATGGCCTCTGTTTCCTTAATTGTTGTTAGGTATGTTTGTACAGACTGAGTAGGACATATATCCGTTACCTGCACAGCCAGCAGACAGCATTTGCTATGTTTTAAGTCACACCTGTTAGGCATTTGAAGGTGCACACATAACCCTAACTTTCAGTCTTATTTCTCCATAGGGCTCCATAGTAACCGTCCTTGGCTTTCTGGGCCTATGGTTCCTGTTGTGGTCAGTTAGCTGCCCTTGTGTCGAAGTAGTCATAGGTGACAATACATAGACAAGAGAGCACGAAAGATCTTTAAATTCAGCACTTTGACCTGTGTGTAATACTTCTCAGAGTGTATACTCTGTGTTGCGATCTGTTTTTTATGACTGACCTACCTAAAAATTCTACTTTTTTTTTTCCTTCTGAAAACTTACTAAAATAATATCTTAAAAAATGGAAGGGATTTCTGTGAGTGAATTTATGACCAGGTCTGCTTTGGTATTTATGAAAATACACTGCCTGTTGAGAAGTTCCCATTAGAAATGATCTTAGCTTTAGACAGCATTCTCTTTTAATTTTTTTTTATTTATTTAGTAGTGTGTGTGTGTGTGTGTGTGTGTGTGTGTGTGTGTGTGTGTGTGTGTGTGTCTGTCTGTCTGTCTGTCTGTGCACGTGCACAAAGGGCAGCTTTTAGGAGCAGTTTCCCCTTCTTCTATGGCTTTCAGGGACCCAAATCAGGTCGTCAGGCCTGCATGGGGAGTTCCTTGCCTGCCATACCATTTTGCCAGCCAATAGACTTTAAAAGTCTGTTTTTGAGAAATGAAGTTGAGTAGCTTGACAATAAGGATTCCTTGAAGTTTTCTTTAGAGAGTTATAGCTCTGGTTATAAACTTTTGGTTATATTTAATAATTCAGAGGGATAATTATTCCAGTTACCCTAAACTTTCCAACACTTTTATTACCAATTTGAAATAACTTTTAAAAAGCTGAGATTCGATATAGGGAGTACTCACCTTATCTGCAGTTGATTTTGTGCTGTACTGATAAAAAATTGCCTTCACGTCCTTTATTGACAAGCCTTGAGTTGGTGCTCAGTTGTGATTATTGGTTGAAACTGTGGAGTCCTGTGGAGGACTCTTAATTTTCAAGAACTTCCCCTGGACCTCTTGGCCACGCATGTACGTTCTCTGTCTGTTTCACACAGACCAATTATAATCACATATTTCTTCTGAGTAATATGACAGTTTTGAAGCATGGCGTCTAGAGGCGACTCCATCCCTCCTTGGGAAATGACAGAGAGAAATCGGGGTGAACGGAAAGATAAATGAATAACATCAAGGAGCGGAGCTTGTGGGATGGGAAAAGAAGTCTGCACCTTGTTCCGCTCTCCTCCAGCATCAGAAGAATCCCAAACCAAAGAACTTGAGAGGGGCTGAGCCACAGGTTTAATAGGCGGCTTATAAGGCCTCCTATTAAAGGCCTTATAAGGCCTCATCTCTCTTGGCTTAGCACTTCGGGTCATGTGCACCAGGGACCCCTCACTGTTTTGAACAGAAAACTGTTTCAAAGCTTTGGTCTTCATTGGTCTTTTGTGGTAAAGTTTTTGTTAGTTTGGTTTTCCGAGACAGGGTCTCACAGCCCAGGCGGTCTTGGCTCTCAGCACCACCCCCCCTTCCTCTCCCCTTCACACACTGCCCCCCCCCCCCCCCAGGGTTTACAGGCTGATTTACAGCTATCTGCCCCATTCTCCTCCTGGTATGTAACTGTTTAGCATTTCTCAGACCATTTGGCCCCTCTGTATTATTGGTGATTACTGGATTTCTCAATTAAATATGAAGCGAAATGTTTGATTGTACTTTGATGTACTGTATTTATGAAGTTCTAATCTATTGTATTCTGTTATATTCATAGAATAAAGGTTTTGTGAATTACTATGGACCACAGAGATTTGGGAAAGGAAGGAAGATTCAAACAGACCAAATTGGATTGGCTTTACTGAAGAATGAAATGGTATGAATTTTCAAAAATACAATCTTTTTTTGTTTTGTTTTGTTTTTGTTTTTGTTTTTTTGAGACAGGGTTTTGCTGTGTAGTTTTGGTGCCTATCCTAGATCTCGCTCTGTAGACCAGGCTGGCCTCGAACTCATAGAGATCCGCCTGGCTCTGCCTCACAAGTGCTGGGATTATCAAAAATATAATCTTAACTCTAGCCACTTGTACTTATTACACAAGCTCATCACATACCTAACTGTGGCATATAACTGCATGTGTGTGCATGCGTGTACACTCTGACACACACGTCATGCTTGATATCATTGGAGATCTACGGGGCAGTCTGATGGGGACATTTTCTTAGCCAAGACTCCCTCTTCCCAGATGACCTTGGCATGCGTCATGTTGACAGAAAATCAACCACTACAGATGTATTAGCTTTTTATGAATATTTGTTTGGATAAATACTGTAGAAGATAGAATGGAAATTGGGATGAATGAATTATTTTAAGTTGCTTTCATACTATAAGCTACATACTCCAGTAAATCCCAGTGATAAAATAACAGGAATTAAGTAGGCACCTTTTTTTAAATAAAAAAAGGAAACATCATATATGTGTATGGTTTAAAATAAACTATTAAGATGTTAAGTAAAATATTGAAGTTGACACTTTATTATATTTTGCCAGTGTGGCGGTCAGAGGACAACTTGCCAAAGTCAGTTCTCTCCTTCCACCATGTGGGTCCTGGGGACTGAACTCAGGTCATCAGGCTTGGTGCCAAGTACCTTTATATAACTGAGTCATTGTGCCAGCCCTAACTTATTTTTTTAATTTCAAAGAATTTGCAAATATAAGTGAAACTAATGGCTTGGTATTCCTGATTCCTACACTTTTTTTTTTTTAAATCATGTGTTGACCAAGTCTAAGCATTTAAGTTGTCTCTTTGCCCCTCTGTTTATATCTCGGCTGAATAAAGACTGATAGAAATGAAATGCCTGAGGAGGGGCCTTTTCCAGTATATGGTTTTGTAGTTACTTGTTTGTATGGAAGGATTATCTCTACGAGTGAAACTGAGTAAGCGTTGAAAGCTTAAGGAAGAAATCACAGCAACACTTTCCGCCCTTCCGGGATGCCCAAGAATTTGCATCTTTTTTCAAAAGTGATTTGCCATTTTTTAAAACCTGTTCACTTGGTTAATTTTTCAAGGTGAAGGCCATAAAGTTATTTCTTACACCAGAAGACGGGGATGATCCTGTAAATAAAGCGAAGAGCTACTTTCTTCAGACTGGTATGTAAGTTTCTTTACTGATCCGTAGTAATACAGACACAGATAAAGATACCCTGCGTGGGCCTGTCCTTAAAACGCACACACTGAGAAACAGCAGAAGTAGCTGAGCTGGGGAACTGTTAGATTGGAGAAACAAATGGGTAATAGTTTGCACTTTGAATCATGTGACTGACTGACACAGGCACTCATTCTGTCCGGCTTGCTTGCACTTTTGTCCATCCTAACTGTGCTTTGGGGGTAAGGAGAGGCGGGAAGTACTTCCTTGGTTTTCCTTCACTGAAGTCCCATAGGACGAGGAGTTCCACTCCACACTACAGCTGATGGTAGCAGGGCCACGGGCAACCAGCGGAGCCTCTCGCTGGGTGAAGTTCATCTGTGATAGCGAGTCCTTTAGGAATTGTTTCCTGGGGGCTGTCGTGTCTTCCCACCTCCTCTTTGAAACCTGAGTTTGATCTGCATGCATAGCATTGTTCGCAGGCACGCCATTCTGAGTGTGGCGGCAGGTCAGCTATGGCTTCGCTGTCCGTGTGTGATTTGTTTCTCTTGTAGAGTCTGAGGAGATGATCCCCATGTCAGTGATTCCGAAGCTTTAGTGTACCTAAGAAGCATCCAGTACCTTTATTAAATACCAGTTACAAGGCCCTCCATGAATAAACATCTTTGGAGCCCAGTAATATACATTTTAAAACCCACTAGCTAGGATACAGATTGCCACGATTTACCCATACATTCTATTGTATGTCCATAACAGTTCTTCAGAAACCCCTAGGCCCCTCCAGTTTACCAGCTTATTTAATCCCTGGTGATGGGTTCTTTTTGTTGGGCAGTCTTCTGAATTAGATTATTTCTGTTCTAAGGGAAGGGTTCTGGCCAGCCGTTCCTATTGTTAGGCTCACTTGCTCTTTCTTATTTTTCAAAGAAAATAAAAGTTTAGAAAAGTAGCACAAGCTTTTATATAATTTAAGGATAATTGGGTTTAACCAGCAGTGTTCAGCATCTCTACAAAATGATTGCCTCTCATTTAGACTGCTTGCAAAAGGCATCCCTCAGGTGACTTTGCAGTGGAGATGCCTACCAGCTGATCTGTTCTCCATTTCAGAGGACGCCAAAGGCACGCTTTCACTGATGCCTGAGTTCCGAGTTCGAGAGCGGGCTCTGCTGGAGTCCTTGCATCGCTTTGGCATGACGGAGGAAGGCTGTATCCAGGCCTGGCTCTCTTTCCCTCACTCCATGCGCATATTCTACGCCCACGCATACAGCAGCAGGATTTGGAACGATGCGGCATCATACAGACTGGCAGCCTATGGAACCAAAGTGGTGGCGGGGGACCTGATCTGCTTGGATGAAGATGCTGACGAGCATTTCCCAAGCAGTAAAGTGAGTACCCATCCACCAAGGGGGTGACTTGCCCGCCCCCCAGACAGTAATTGCAAGAAGCCTGGGTTTTGAAACACTTCTTTTACTCATCTCCAGCTTTACTTTTCTGACAGCTGAGAATCAACACAGGTTGCTAAGTGGAGAAATAGTGGTGTAGAATGCAAGGTGGTAAAGCGTCCTTTGAAGAGCGCAGTCTCAAAAACAAACAAACCTGTATGTGTGATGCACCCGGACATATTTCAAGTTTGACTCTTGAAAACAAGAGTCAAACTGTCCAGAGCTGGCATGTCTGCACACCCCAACTAGGTGCTTTCCCTTGCTTCCTTGTTGTCCAGCATCCTTCAGCTTCCTCTCTGCTGTCCCCTAAGTGTCCACAGAAAATGGCTTTTATTTGTATAAAACACTGAGAAAAGACAGGTGTAAGAGATGTACAGCTTATAAGAAAAAAAAAACAAGGAAAGTTGCATAGTGTTATGAGGATATGGGATGCTATGTTGCTTTCCTATACCTGTGGTTTTATGTAAATGTGATTTCATGACATTAATATTAATGAAGTTATGTCATGACTATTTTATAAAACTTGCTCTTTCTATTTCTTCCCTGTCCACCTGGCATTTTTCATCTCTATAGGTTTGAACTAATTAATGAAGCTGAATTCCACGAGTCTTGTGAGAGTTCACATAATAGTGTAAAACAAAAGGAACAAAGAATTTTCCTCTCACGTTATCTTAAGTCAATTTTAACCTGGTTAAAACCAAGGACAAGACCCTGAGTGGTGCTTCATGTTATACATTGTAAAACTGTTGGATCTGGGGGAGTAAAGGATTTCAGAGGTCCCGTCCTTGAGCTCCTCCCATTTTATAGGAATGAGAACCGAGGCCCAGATGGGAAAGGAAAAATTCAGAATCATCTATGGAGTGCATCTGAAAAGACCCAGGAGTCTAAGTGGGTCTCTTCAGGAGGAACCTGGAGGTAGACCTAGGAATCAGTTAGTAGAGGTACATCATGGCCCAGCCCCTCAAAAGTAGAGGAAAGGTAGACTCTAAGCTCTGCATTAACAAGTCTTCACCCAGATCAATGATGGACTGCACATGTATGAATTAAGGGCATTTGGTTTTAGGTAATAGGAATCTCCCTCAAACTAATTAAAAAAAAAATCCAGCAGGAGTTTATTGGCCCAGTGCCTGAAAACTCATGATTTATTCGGGCACAGCTGTATCTCCAATCCTGTCTTCTACAAGAGCTGTGCTCCTAACAGCTAAGCATCTCTCCAGCCAAGAATTGTGTATTCTGTGATGTTGTGGAGCAAAGTTTCTCAAACTTAACTTATCACACACCTCCTGATTTCCCTTTTGGCTTCAGATGCCTGCTACTGTCCTCTGAAACAGAGACCACAAACACCATGGCGGAATAAAATATTTCTGTGTTTCCTGGGGACAGGGGCGGTAGAAGGGAGGGGCCTGCTTTTCAGAAGCAGACATTCAATTCTGCCTCATTCGCTCGGGCCTGAGGAGAGCGTCACCTCTGGGCAGCCATGGTTGGTGCTGTTCAGCTTTAGTGGTGTAAGGCGGAAAGAACTGGTCTGTTTTTTATGTAGTGGGCTCCTCTGGAGACAAGTTATTATAAAAGATTGTGCTTGAACATATGAATATTCAGTGTATGAATCAGAGTTAGGGCACACTGAGGTAATGTGAGCATTTGGAAACCACTCTTTTCCATCATATTTTATGAAACTAGGTTCATCTGGTGACTGAAGAAGAGGAGTCGGCTGACACATACGCAATACACCAGGTAAGTCTGGTTCAAAGTTACCATCACTCAGATTTCAGTAAGCATTGTCCCCTAAGACAAATCTCACTCTCCCTTCTTAGGAACTTTTAAATTGTTATAATTTATATCCTAGTAATTTATGCTTCTTTAATACATTTATGCTTGTAGTAAACTTACTATGCTGTAATCTATACCCTAATAATTTAATTTATGCTTGCTTTTGATAAATATATGTAATCACGTGGACACTGAAAACTTCAACATTAAGTAAGAATAATTTCATGTCTCTCTCAGATTTCCCTATGTTCATGTCTCCCTCTAATGTTTCCCAGTGTTTGACACCCATATTAATCCTATTTCCAGGATTGCATTAATCCTATTTCATGGGAGCCACTGATTTAATTTTTATCACTGTGGTTCTACATTTGAAAAAAATGTTATGTAAATAGAATATATATATATTTTGTGTGTGTGTGTGTGTGTGTATCTTTCTATATTCCAGCTTACTAGACTGTGGGTTGTGATCCCATGACTGAATGTGGGGTTTGTGTAAAATTTTGTAGCAACACAAGGTTTCTGAGTGCATAGTGAGAGAAAATTAATTGAAAATCAAATACATAGTGAATCCAAGGTATTTCTAGAAGCATTCACAAGTGTTGCGTCATGTGGCTTCACTGCAGACTGCAGACTTGGTTCTGTGTAGCAACCTGCACACTTTGCCCTGTGTGTACCATCCTGCGTATTACAGATGATGATGATGAATGATGGTGATTGATGATGGTGATGATTGATGATGGTGATGATGGTGATTGATGATGGTGATGATGATTGATGATGAATGATGGTGATTGATGATGATTGATGATGGTGATGATGACTGATAATGGTGATGATGATGATGGGGATGGTGATTGATGATGAATGATGGTGATGATGATGATTGATGGTGATGATGATGATGATGATTGATGATGGTGATGATGATAATTGATGATGGTGATGCCTGAAACACCTCAGCTCAGATTCCAGACTATTACATATTAGCAATTGTAGGTTTTATTGTACATACAAAGTTTTCTATTCTTAAAAAACATAATGGCTTACTTTGGAAAACAAAGACAATATTTTCCTACCATTTATCAGCATGTGTATATTAACTTAATATATGCTTGGGCTGTATTTTGTTAGAATACTTGCTTTTTAAAATTGCTGTTTTGATTGCTGACCTGGGTGTCATAAAAAAGAATGTTAAATGAATTTTGACTTGAGATTAGGACAGAATCTCCAACATTTTATAAAATGGCTCTGAATATACTTCCACCATTTTGTGCTGTGTGTTTATGTGAAATGGTACTCAGCACCAAGGATTACAAAATCCAAACATCTGTCAATGCTGGAAAACATTGGAAATGCTTTACATCCTACGGTTTCAAACATTTAGGCAATATTTAATGCTTTATATGAAAATAAACAGCATATCATCTCCTTGGTATGCAAGTTTGCTTTAATAATTTAATAATAATTAAATGGTCTTTAATAAATGAATTATATGTATAACAAAGAATCATCTTGTCATAAATCTTTTATGATTTGTAAGTGTTTGGCTTTTATACCAATTTTATAGAGTTATATACTTAGGATCATATACAATTTTCTTGGATAAAATACGGGTCACAAGTGAATCAAATTTCTGAAGCCTAGCTGTAGCCCAGGCTGGATTCCAACACCTACCCCTGCCTCAGGCTAGATTCTAACTCCTACCCCTGCCTCAGACTTCTGTATCCTGGCTTAAACCCTAAAGTGTCTGGTTTCTTTGAGATTCATTTATATATTTGAGGATCTGCCTGTTTTTCTAAATGCCTTTTTGTATTCAGGCATACTGTCTAGCAGTCAGCAAAGGAAAAAAACCTCTACAGATCACAGGTGTACTCATATGCATACAGCTGACAAAATAAAAATATTTGCTGTTGGTTGATTACTTGGTTGTTTTTTAATAAAAGGAATTACAGATTGTCACCCAAAATAGCAGGGGCCAGCAGTAGAGACAGTTCTGTGTGTCACAGAAGACTCTGCTTTAGGATTGTAGGAGATAGAGTCCTTACTGAATAATTAAATGAAACTTTATTTTTGAATTTTGAATTTTGCCCAGTGTTACCTGATAAAAGCTGACGACCTTCTCTCTCCCGAGTCTTTGGTTCTAGTTAGCTCTTTTCTTTACCAGATAATGTTAAAAGTATCCTAAGTACTAAAAGTCTTCGGCCAACTGCCATCATATTTATAGCCTGACACTGTTTTTACAAATCTGGGCCATCGTCATAAAGGTAAAATATGATGGCATGTCTTTCTGAGGGCTAACCCATGTGTTGTGGTTTCTCCCTGCCCTCCCCAGGTGGTTCTGCCAGTACTTGGATACAACGCTCAGTACCCAGAGAACAAAGTGGGCCAGTGGTACCGTGGGGTCCTCAGCAGGGACGGACTGCAGGCCTGTAGGTTTAGAGTGCCTGCCCTGAAGCTGAATGTACCAGGATGCTACAGGCACATCTTGAAACATCCCCACAATGTGTCATACCAACTGGTCCATCCTGACTCCGACGTTAACGTGGAAGGTTCTCACGCCGATGATGTGACCTCATCACTGTCCATCTCTTTTGACCTTGATGCTTCGTGTTACGCTACCGTTTGTCTGAGGGAAATGATGAAGGGCGATATTTAAACCAGCGCCCGTGACGTAGGAGTGTTCGCCATTCTGAAGAAAGGGTAGCTGCCGTTTCTAGGGCCCCTGCCTTGAGCTTCGTGATAGCTGTCTTCTTCAATTTTTACAGTATCCTAAGAGGTTGGAATTTGGTGAATTAAGGTGCCGGTGTCTCAGTTTAAACTTTTCTACTAAAGTCCTGTGATCACTTACAGCAGTTGAGGAATCGAAGGTCTAAGGCAGTGTTTCTCAACCTGTGGGTTGCGACCCCTCTGGTAACCATCTATCTCAACAAATATTTACATTACAATTCATAACAGTAGCAGAATTACAGTTATGAAGTAATATAATAGCAACAAAAATAATTTTATGGTTGGGGGGGTCACCACATGAGGAACTGTATTAAAAGGTCACAGCATCAGGAAGGTTGAGAACCCCTGGTTTAAAGCTACATGACTACAGTCTTTCCACATGCTTCAGCGATAGAACACTTCTCCGGGCCCTGGCTGCTGTGGATCACACTTAAGAGTGACTAGAGAGAGAAGCCTTCTACTCTGCTTAGAGAGGGAAAGCGAGGGGACAGGGAAACAATGGTGACAGGACAAGTGAAGCGCTGACCTTTCCGCTTTGAAGTGGCTGGTCAAAAAAACGTGCCAGGGATTATCATTTGTTCTTATCACAACTGATGTATGACATCATCTTTGAGGAAGACATGTTTTCATTAAACTTTTTCATACAAGTTTTTTTTACCTGACCCCCTAACTTTTCATTATGTTTTCTAGTACCTAAAACTCAGATTTTAGACTCAGGTCTACTCAAATTCCACCTCTCACACATTGGATATGCTATTGATTCTTTTTGGAAATAAAGTTTCCTAAGTCGCCACAGAATGGTCTCTGTGTTTTATGCTACAAAGAGAAAATATTTTGTCCGTTTGGAAATCTTAATGTTCGCTGGTTTAATTGTCCCACACCATAAATCAACCTTAACAGCACTATATCATTTAAATTCAGGTAAAGTAGGGTGATGTATTTATTAGGAAGACCTCCTTCCAATATAATTTCATTTCTGATAACATTGTGATGAAATTTCAAAGGTCTTATGGGATATCAGAGACCAACAATGAGGTGTTTTTGTATGTCTATGTTAGTCTATCCATTTACAGGATATTAGCACCGGGAAATAAAATCCAAAAGAAGGAAACATGCTGCATGGAATGTAAATTTTTTTTTTAAATAACATGTTCATCCGTATATTATGGAGCAAATCAGAAGTCAGTTCAGAGTTCATCCGTGGATGAATCAAATGGATAGCAAATGTGTAGTTACTAAAAAAGTTGATGGAAATTTAGTAGTGTTAGAAAATGTTTTACCGGAGCAAAACATGCATTTTACAAATGCCGGGTTTGCCAATGAGACGCATATTTGCATGCTGGTTAAAAACTGCAGCTACTGGGGACTAACTCCGCCAGTTTGAGCCCTGGCTCTGCTGCCGATTCCAGTTCCCATGATTCCCTCTCAGCATCCATGGAAGGGGACATTCATACATGTACCACTCAAGGGTTAATGTGAGGGTGTCATCAGTTAGCATAAGTACGTTATGTTGAAGAAGGGCCTGGCACTCCACAGCTGTTACATGTTTGCAGGTACAAATTTGGAGGGGAAGATAATGACATTCAATTAAAATGAGTAATCAATTAAAAATAATATCTATATGTGCATCTATATATATTTGGTCATTACATATCACCTTAGTTACCTTTTTGTTCCTGTGATTTAAAAAAAAAAAAACTTAGCAAAAGCAACTTAAAGGTGAGAAGGTTTATTTTGGCTCCCAGGTCCAAGGCATGGCAAGGACATCATGGTGACAGGAACCTTGAGGGAACTGGTCCCCTCGTGTCCATAGTCAGGAAGCAGAGAACAGTGGATATTTGTCAACTCACCTTTTTATATAGTTCAGGATCCAAGCCCTGGGGATGGAACTACTTGTAGTGGATGAGGCTTCCCAATCACTCTAAACAAGACAATAATTCCTACATATGTATCTAGGGTGATTGTCATCCAGGTGATTCTAATCTCATCGAGTTGACCATTGAGACTGCCCATCACACATACTTTCTGCAATCTCAAAATACACAAGAAGTTGGATATTGATTTTTTTTTAAACTACTTCCACAGTCTTAGTGTTTATTGGAAATAAAGTGATATTCTATTAGGCAGTAAAAATTGAGAAGGGGAGGAATATTTTAACTTCATGACAGAAATTGTATTTCGTGAATTAAATATGAAAATAAATTATAAAAATTAATTTTTCTTTTAAATAAATGTCTATTAGAAAACATTAAAGCTTTTTATAGAATGTGCTGTCATTAATATTCTTGGCCTGTAGATGGCACTGTAAGTTTATATTTCTCTTATAGTAAACACTTGGAGTCTGTGTAAAGCATTACTAAGTTACTCTCATCACTATATATTATTGGGATGTTATTTACTAATGTTGAAAGTCATTCCATATGACATTTGATATGATATTTTATATATATTTGAGGGATTTTATTATGTCCTGAGAATTAACTGGTGACCAGTCTCTAAGATTTATAGGTTTTATGGAGCAGTTCATCATAAGCGTAAGTTTTGCTTTAGTTTTAATTACCAAGGTGGCATTTGAGACTAATAGTGCCTAAGGACAGGAAAGTGAATGACTTTTTGTTTTGGTTTTTCGAGACAGGGTTTCTCTGTGTAGCTTTGCGCCTTTCCTGGAGCTCACTCTGGAGACCAGGCTGGCCTTGAACTCACAGAGATCCGCCTGCCTCTGCCTCCCGAGTGCTGGGATTAAAGGCGTGCGCCACCACTGCCCGGCGTGAACAGTTTTAATTTTGAGGTGTTTTGCTTTATTGCCATGCTGGGGATTGAACCCAGGGCCTTGCTCAAGCTAAGCAAGCACTCTGCCAACTCAGCTGAGGGCCTCACTGCTTATGTTCTTCTTTATCAAGATAAAAATGCCTGCTTGTTCTTTAAGTTGTAAAAATGGAAAATCTCTGTAATTTTAGACCCAGCTAACATTTTTTTTAGTGTTATATCACTATCTCTCATATTAATCCATATTTCACCCTATTGGGATATGTGTAATATTTCCTGCTTCGGGCAGATTGTAAGCATATCTGATCTACTGATCTCTTTAAGGTCAGACAAGATACAGTATGAACTTGAACTTGCTTATGCTTCCTAGGTGTCGTAGTTAGGGTAACTGCTGTGGGATGGTCTGTATGTCAAGTGTGTTGCTGATTGCTTGGTAAATAAATCACTGATTGGCCAGTGGCCAGGCAGGGAGGATAGGCGGGACAAGGAGGAGAGTAAAGCTGGGAAGTGGAAGGCTGAGTCAGAGAGACACTGCCAGCTGCCACGATGACAAATAGCATGTGAAGATGCCGGTAAGCCACGAGCCGCGTGGCAAGGTATAGATTAATAGAAATGGATTAATTTAAGCAAGTTAGCAAGAAGCCTGCCACAGCCATACAGTTTGTAACCAATATAAGTCTCTGTGTTTACTTGGTCGGGTCTGAGCGGCCGTGGGACTGGCAGGTGAGAGAGATTTGTCCTGACTGTGGGCCAGGCAGGAAAACTCTAGCTACAGGTAACTATGGCTGCTGTTGTTGTTGATGAAGCATCACAACCAAAAGCAAGCTGGGGAGGAAAGGGTTTGTTTCACTCAGTTCCATATAACAGTTCATCATCAAAAGCAGTGAGGGCAGGAACTCAGGGCAGGAACTGGAGGCAGGAGCTGATGCAGAGGCTGTGGAGGGGTGCTGCTTACTGACTTGCTTCCCATGGCTTGCTTAGCCTGTTTCCTTAGAGAACCCAGGACCACCAGCCCAGGGATGGCACCACCCACAATGGGCTACCCCCACCCCCATCAATCACTAATTAAGAAAATGCCCCACAGGCTTGCCTACAGCCAGAACTTACAGAAACATTTCCTCAGTTGGGGTTCCCTCCTCTCAGATGACTAGCTTGTGTCAAGTTGACATAAAACTAGGCGGCACACTAGATCAGTATTGCTTTGACTAGTATCTGCCTTCTGAGAGCAAGCTTTGGGGTGATAATTCCCGTGTCCGCCAACTTAGTATTGTCTGCTGCTGCCGAACAGGCACACTGAGAGCTGTCTTGAGAGAGAAATAATATTCTTTCTTGAGATTCCAAACTAAGGAGAAGGTCCAAATCATTCTGGAATCCTCCACAGCATATACCGGGATATGTACCACGGAAATGTGTTGAAATCATTACAGCTCCTAGGAAACAGAGCTGATACCTGGGACAATTCTAAATGTCACTGGAAAAGCTTGGTGAGAGTTTCGTTCTAATTCAGGCTGAGCTGCTCCAGTCCTTCCACCGGCCGTTCTGTTTAAAGAAGAAGCAAGCTGACACTTGCAGGTTCACCTTCTTAACGGAAGCTGTAGCCCCCCCCCCTCCTGCTTAGACGCGTCAAGAATTCCAGCACCCAGAATTTAATGAGGCTGCTTCTCTGTTGGACTCGCTTTCCCACGTACCACGTGTCCACTCAGATAATTGTGTTGCTACATTTGTGAGATGGAACTGTTTCCTTTAAAACCGAATTGAGCTGTAAAAAGGGAGGGCCACCTCACAGGTCCCAAGAGTGCAAGTGCAGTAGTGATTGGACAGCCGTACCCAGATGGCAAAAGTCTGAGAAATACTACTGAGCTGTGAATCCCTCACTTTGCAGAGTGGCTGGACCACGAGTTGGTTTGTGACTTTAACAATCCACCCCATTTCTCTGTTGTGATATCCTCAGGTCCCAAGTAACCTTAGTCAACTTCTCATTTTCCCCAGTCCTGGATATGTAGCAAATAAATCTATGGAAAGCACACAAATTCAAGATGTTATTGTGTTATAAGTAGAGGCATTCATGACACATGCCATATCTTGACATTTTTTTACCAGTAAGAACTTCATAGAAAACCTTAAAAGACACTCAGGACAGTGTCTGGTACCTCGGAAATTCTCAGAAAATTCCAGCTTGTGTTCTTAGAGTTGATACCACCTCACCGAGCTCTCTGAAGGTTGGGTAGTTTTCAGTGAGATCTGATCTGATTCTGGCTTAATACAAACTATAATTTATATTTTTATGGCCTGGGGAGATAGCTTAGTAAATAAAGCACTTGCCACATCAGCCCAAGGACTGAACATCCACATAAAAGCCAGACAGGCATGGTGCCTTAGCTGTAATCCCATCCCTTAGAAAGTGGAGATGGGTTTCCCTGGGGCGAGCAGCTTACACTAGCTGAGTCAACACTTTCTGGGTCCAGTCAGACTCTGCCTCAGGAAATTAAATGGAAAGTCATCAAAGAAGACATCCAACACCAACCCCTGGCCTCCAAGCAGACATGCACACATACAAACATGAGTATACATGGCTGTACACCACACATACATGCCCTCCAAGGAGAAAATTTTAAGTGGAAAGAAGTTTCTAAATACCAGGATTCAGAAGTTCGTTCAGGTTAGGATCGGTAAGAACCACATAGGTTAATAGTCCTTAATGTTAAGAGGCCAAAAGGAGAAAAGAAACTCTAACACAGCCTTCTGACATCGATTTAAGAGTGGGAACAAAGTTGGAGGATAGTATGCCAAGGTGGGAAACCAGAATGTTCCCCTCCATTCATTTCTGGAATGTTGGAATTCTTATGTATATTCATGTACTTGCTTTCCAGTGAAAAGCCTCGGAGACTGCTTAAGTTTGAGAGAAGAAGGCAAGGGAAGCGACAGGTTACAGTTGTCTTCAGAGTAGTCCTGGAGACCCGTGAGAGCATTGCCTGAGAGAGAAACATGTGTGCTGCACATCCAGCAGCACCAGCCGCAGCGGAAGCAAGCATTGCAGTTTCCGGGTTGCCCGCGTCATGCATTTTGCTGTCAGGTTTCTAGTAGGTTCCTGAGAGATAGTGGGATGCCTTATGACACTGTTTTAACCTTGATTTTCAAGACCTCTGCTCCGACTTTTATTTATATTTTGGATAGGCCACGAGAAGTACTGAGTACATGATGTCACGATCAACAGGCGTTTGAGTGGCTCCAGGGCGAGAGTGCTCTGTATGGAGACTGGCCGCATGGCATCCTTTCCAGTTTTGTTGGATTTGAATGGGCATATAGAGAAAGAGCGTGTGGACCAGGTACCAGGGAGGAAGCAAAGCAGCAGGTTCCCACTGGATTTCACCTCTCTATGTGACCAGGGATGTGTTGCTTGGCCTCCAGCAACACCTTCTGAAGCCTTAAATGATACTCGCATTAACATTTCTAAGCATTTTGGAAGCTCCTTCAAATGTGCTTGAACTACTTACTCAGCGTAAGGCTGCTTTCTAAGAGTGCCAGTGTAAAGGACAGAAATTGGTATTAATGGATTTGGTCCTGAGTCATTCCAGTGTGAGCTGTCAGGAATACCTCTGAGTTAAGAAGACTAATCTTCTTAAGCAATTCATTTCCTCACTTTGAGGCAGGAGTTAATTTACCCTGCATGTGAAGATAGGCCCTCTCTGAACGACAGATATTTTAGTTACGGGAAAGGTTAAAGATAGCTATGGAATTTAAAATTTAGACATTCGAAAGCATAAAATACAAAATAAATGATAAGTTTTCTTAATAAATACACAAGTCAACTACCAATATTGAAATAAAATCCCAGGTTAGGGTGAGAATTTGACCACGAACTCAAAACAAGAGCTCTGTAGTTACTTTAAAAGGGAAGGGATCAAAGAGCTGGTCTCCTTAGCTGATTGGGCAACAGGGTGG